GTGAAGACAAAGGCGGATGGCACCATCGACAAGTTTAAAGCACGCTGGGTTGTACGCGGCTTCGACCAAGAGCACGGACGCGACTTCACCGAAACCTTCGCACCAGTCAGCCGACACACTTCGTTACGGATTCTTCTTGCGATCGCGACCATGAAGAAAAAGAAACTGCGACAAATTGACGTCGCCAACGCATTTCTCTATGCACTTGTCGACGCATAAATCTTTGTCGAGTTACCGCACGGCTCCAACGGAGAGTCTAACCAAGTCTGTCAGCTGCTGAAGTCACTCTACGGCATCAAACAAGCCCCGAGGCTGTGGCAGCAGTACCTACACGCAAGACTCATTCGCATCGGATTTCGCCAGCTACCTCACGACCAAGGCATGTATCGGCTCGCAAAAGGCATCGACTACATCCTGCTAATTGTCTACGTAGACGACCTTCTCTATATCGGCTCGACCGACAGTGTCACAACCTGGTTCGAAGGGGAGCTACAGAAGGATCTCACACTCACGGTCTCGTCCACCGTCACACAATACCTCGGCCTCAACATCCAGGAAGAAGAAAATGCGATCTACCTCAGCGCCGCGAAATACGAAGACACCATCGCCAAGCGCTTCGCACTTACGCCGACTGCCATCTCCACGCCATACCGCTACACGGCAGGAAACAACAAGGAAGGCTCTGCTCTACTCAAGCCCGCCGGCATACGCGACTACCAGAGGAAGCTGGGATGCCTCCTCTTCGCAGCTGTCACCTGCCGTCCGGATCTATCATACTTCGCGAGCCAGCTCGCCACCTACCTCAAGAAGCCCGAAGCAGAGCACATGGCAGAACTCGACCGCGCTCTTCACTACCTCGTCAGCACCCCAACCGTCGGCCTAACCTACCACAAGAACGGAACCACGACTCCTAAGCTAATCGGCTACGTCGATGTCGATCACGCCGGTGACTCTGACAACAGGCGCTCGCGCACAAGCTATATCTACCGCTTCGAGCCTATCGGTCCTATCTCCTGGCAGTCGAGCAAGCAGGAACTAATTGCTCTCTCCTCAGCCGAAGCAGAATACATCGCACTCTGCTCAGCCACCAAGGAAGGACTCTACCTTCGCGAACTGCTGGAAGAAGCAAAATTGGCTCAGTTACCCAGCTTCACCCTGTTCTGCGACAATCAATCGGCAATTCGCATAGCCAACAAGAATGGCTTCGCGAACAGAACGAAGCACATCGCCCTGCGATACTTCTTCGTGAAGGACGAGATCGAGAAGGGGAGACTCGAGCTGTCATACTGCCCCACGTCCGAGATGGCAGCTGACTACTTGACCAAAAAGCTCGGAAGGCAGAAATTTGAGTACTGCATGATGCTGACTGGACAAGACCACGTCATCAACGGTGACACTCCAGAAGCGAAGGGGTGTGTTGGAAACAATTGATTTAAAGCGCTTCTGTCGTGGCGAAACACCAAGTCACAAGCGAAGCAAAGCATATCGAAGCACCGGCGAGTCAACCCTCGGAGGTTGAAGTAACCGCTGGAGGTTACGCGAAAGTCAAAGGTCAGCGACCTTTGACCTGACTAGTACAGTGCGACAGCAAGGACACACAACTGACTCGTTACAGAGCAGTTGCCCGAGTCGTCACTATATCGAACCGCAACAGCAACAGTAAAACAGTTATAGTTGTATCCTTTCATATTCCTTGTACTCTTATATAATCTTGTATCTCTTTGCTTTAATCAACTTACTTTGCCCTCACACACTAGCGCAAGGTGGTTCACAATCTCATCATTAAACGCTTCCGCTATTACACCGTTCCTACCCAGAGTTTACCCCTGCAAAGATCCTCTAAGGGCTTTTCTCAGCCCAACACCGTCGACCCGCGCGCTGCCCCCGGGGACCCGCGCGCACGTCCCCGTCGACCCGCGCGCCCCTCCCGTGGACCCGCGCGCCGCCCCCGGGGACCTCCGCGCCCGCCCCCGTCGAGCCGTGCGCCGTCCCGCTTCATCACGCGCATCACCCCCGCTGCTGCCCGCGCTCCTGCCCCGTACTGCCTGTGTTAGGGTTTGGGGGTGGCGAGTATGGGGGTGACGGGTGTGTGCGCAGTCTGCCTGGCTATGTTTCTGCCTGGCTATGTTTCTGCCTGGCTATGTTTCTGCCTGGCTATGTTTCTGCCTGGCTATGTTTCTGCCTGGCTATGTTTCTGCATGGCTATGTTTCTGCCTGGCTATGTTTCTGCCTGGCTATGTTTCCGCCTGAGAATGTAATTATGGGCTCCGAGTGGTGACCATTGTCAGAATCCCATCCACTAACCACTGGAATAAAAGGGCTTGTTTGTGTAGCGGGTGAGTGCGCCCATGTTAAGTTTTGTTATATACCCTGCTTGCTGTGTGTTCTAGTGTAGCTACAGTAAGTTGTTGGTGGTGCACCAATGTGCTCACCTTTCTTTGCTATATCTTGTAACCTTGCTGTAGTGAACCTCTCCCTTCCTGTTTCTCTCGCTCACGCTACCCCAAACCCTAAGGCTACTATTCTAACATGGTAATCAGAGCAGGCCGTTCCTAGGCCTAGTTTTATGCTCGTTATGGCGGCGCCTCGAGTCGCTGCTGATCGACACGGTGGCGAGCTGCGCAATGGCGAGATCCGTCGCTCCGTGCCCATTTCGTCTTCCCGTTCGCTCCCATTACGCCTTGCTCGTCGCGCTCGTAGTGCCCTGCTCGTTGCGCCCTGCCCGACGTGCCGTCGCTCGCCCCGCCCCGCGCACGACCCCGTCACCCGCGGCCCCGTCGCCTCGCCGCTGGCCACGTACGCTCAGGCGCCAGCGCGAACGTCAGCGCCAGGCGCTGTCGCGGACGCCAACGCCCGGCGCCAACGCGGACTGCCAACGCCAGCGCCAGTGCGGACAGCAGGCGCCAGCGCCAGCGCCAGCGCCAGCGCCGACACGTGCGCCAACGCCAGCGCCAGCGCCGGCGGCAGCTCACGCCGCCCCCAACCCCCCCCTCCGCCCTCCATTTCACGGCTTCCGTCGTGGGGGGGGGGGGGGGGGGGGGGGGAGATGTGGGGGTGGCGGGTGTAAGCCGCCAGCAGCTCCTTACGCCGCCCCCCCCCTTCCCTTCCGCGGCTTCTGCCATGGAGAGGGGGTGGGGGGGGGGAAGAAGGGGAGGAGGGTGAGGGGGTGGCGGAAGTAGACAGGTGCGGAGGGTGTGAGGTTAAAGGGTTGACTGATAGGGGGGTGAGGACTTGGGGGTTATTAACGGGGGGGAATCGCAATGAGCTTGCGCGCTCATGCCCACCTAGCCCACCTCCTCTCCTCATCGGGACTAAGGGGTTATTAACGGGGGGGGATCGCAATGAGCTTGCGCGCTCATGCCCACCTAGCCCACCTAGCCCACCTCCTCTCCCTTTCCTCTCTCACACCCCCCTTTGTAAAAGGAGGTTCGTAAGCGGGTAGCTCCCCACCTCCTCTCCTCTTCTCTCCTCTCCTCTCCTCTCGCGTCCTCCTCCTTCCTAACCTCTCTACCCTCTTCCGCTGCGCCACGTGTACCTGTACTAGTTATCACGGCAAGCAGGTTAAGGGGGTGTGTTAAGTTTTGTTATATACCCTGCTTGCTGTGTGTTCTAGTGTAGCTACAGTAAGTTGTTGGTGGTGCACCAATGTGCTCACCTTTCTTTAGTAGTGAACCTCTCCCTTCCTGTTTCTCTCGCTCACGCTACCCCAAACCCTAAGGCTACTATTCTAACAGCCCATAACCCCCCAGGCCGACGTGCCTGTAACCCTTCCCTAGGATCAATCGGGGATCTCCAGTGGACCTCTGACAACCATCTCTATGTCTACACAGGCCCACGAAAACATAGTGACGCCGAACACCGCATGGAGGTGAAAGCGAATGCAGTCTTGTTCTTGTGTAGGCGTTAAATATGGAGGTGGTCAGTAACAGCAAGCAACATATGTATCGTACGTACGCAACGCATGTTATCCATAGCACATGATGGTGGAGAGAGAGAGAGCAGACGGGTGCTGCTAAAGCTAGAATCGAGCTTCGATCAGTAAGCACTTGCTCAGTTGTGTGATGTGAAGACCAGAACGACCAGAACCAGTACAACTACCATTTGCTGTTGCTGGTGCGGCGACACTGCTCAACGGCTGTGGGGAGTAGTAGCAGCAGTAGCATGAGCAGTATTGGCAGCGGTGGCAGCAGCAGCAGTGGCAGCACGGTCAATGGCAGCAACCATGAGGTCCCAGAATCCATCCACATCCATGCTGCGAGCCACATGCGCGTTGGCTGGCTGCTTGCTTTGCCTCCACACATCACACACCGTCTGCCCTGCTGACAGCTGGTCGGGGAGGGGGGAGAGGGGAAGAGAAATAGGGAGACAGGGAGGAGTGAGGAGTATCAGGTGCTGCTGCTCTGCCGCCACACGTCACACACCGTCTGCCCTGCTGACAACTGAGGAAGGGAAATGCAGGAATGAGGGGAGCTGTGTGCGTGAAACGAGAGAGAAGGGATTGAGTGAAGTGAGGAGCAGCAGAGACAATGAAGAAGATGTCGGAAAATATAAGTTTATACTTTCTATCTATAACAGCCTATAGGATTGGTTACTGTAGTTATAGCATTTTCCTGTTTGGTGGTGCACCCTCTTGTTTCTTCTTGCCTATTTGTACTGTTCGTTCTATAGTGAACAACCTCTATTGGCCAACTTTCTTCTCGACACAGCCTCTCATGCTAGGTTCCTAGAACTCTAGGTTCCTATGGTTCCTAAGCTATAGCACCTAGTTCGACAGAAGACAGGCTGGGTTGGGCAAATATGTTCTGCTTCGCACGTGTGATGGGAAGATCAGGAATGGGGTTAAAGTGGTGCAATGGGGTGAGAAGCAGTGAGGAGCGGCTCACCTCACTCTTGGTCTCGATGTCCACTCGGAGGTGCTCAGTCTGTAGATAGAGCGGTAGCAGAGCGATGGGAGGATTGAGCAGTGGTGGGGAGGAGTGATGTGGTGTGATACGGAACGTTTATGAAGATTGAATGTTGAAACTGAAGGTAAAGAATACATCGTGCGCATCAACCCCCCCAATGCCCAGAAGGAGCTGACTAAAAAGGGGAAACATGTGCTTATGCCAGCAGGAGAGTCTGAAGAGGGAAGCAGGAAAGCATACGTTGAAGAGGGATGGGGCGATGAGGAAGGCGAGAGCACAGGGGTCATGTAGGGGTGGGTGCTGGAAGCCAAAGACCTCGAGGTACGTGCGGGCAAAGAAATGCATCAACGCAGAGACTGTGATTGAGGGGATGGGGGGAACGAAAGGGGGGGTGGGGATAGTAGACAGAGGGACAGGATTAGCAGGAGAGGGTCACGCAGAGGGGGTACGCGCGGGCGAAGAAATGCATCAATGCAGAGACTGTGGTGGGGGGAATGAGGAGGGGAAGAGTGGAGGGGGCGAGGAGAGCATAGACAGAGGGACCGGATAAGAGAGAAACCAAAAACGTGGAGGTACGTGCAGGCGAAGGAATGCATCAACGCAGAGACTGCGGGAGGGGGGAAGGGAGGTGAAGGGGAGAGTGGTGAAGGGGAGAGTGGTGAAGGGGAGAGGGTAAACCGAAGGAGAAGAGAAGCTGATGGGGTCGTGCAGAGGGGGTTGGGGGAAACCAAAGACGTCGAGGTACGTGCGGGCAAAGAAATGCATCAACGCAGAGACTGCAGGAGGGGATGGGAGATGAGGGGGAGACGAGAGAACATGAGAAGGGAGCGTGCAGCGGAGTGGGGACTACGTGGGTGGATGGGGCGTGCAATGAGGCCTGGTGCAATGAGGCCTGGTGCAATGAGGCCTGGTGCAATGAGGACTGGTGGAACGCAGTCTTTGCATTATGCAGTCTTTGCATTATGCAGTCTTTGCATTATGCAGTCTTTGCATTATGCAGTCTTTGCATTATGCAGTCTTTGCATTATGCAGTCTTTGCATTATGCAGTCTTTGCATTATGCAGTCTTTGCATTATGCGGTCTTTGCATTATGCGGTCTTTGCATTATGCGGTCTTTGCATTATGCGGTCTTTGCATTATGCGGTCTTTGCATTATGCGGTCTTTGCATTATGCGGTCTTTGCATTATGCGGTCTTTGCATTATGCGGTCTTTGCATTATGCGGTCTTTGCATTATGCGGTCTTTGCATTATGCGGTCTTTGCATTATGCGGTCTTTGCATTATGCGGTCTTTGCATTATGCGGTCTTTGCATTATGCGGTCTTTGCATTATGCGGTCTTTGCATTATGCGGTCTTTGCATTATGCGGTCTTTGCATTATGCGGTCTTTGCATGGGGCGTGCAATGAGGCCTGGTGGAACGCAGTCTTTGCATTATGTGTGAGCAAAAGAAATGCATCCATGCAGAGAGTGCGATGAGGGGATAAGCATGATGAGGGGAAAGGAGAAGAGGATAAGCAGAGGGAGCACGCAGGGTCGGGTGGTGGGAGCCGATCGCTTCGGCAATACGCACATATCCGTGTTCTCACCCTATCACAGTCAAGGCAGCTGGCAGCGCTGGCAGCAGGAGGTGTGAGGCTAGTGGAATGGCCGGCAGCTGTAGCAGCGTATTATGGGTCAACTAAAAGCTCACCTGTTTGCCGCAGCTTTCTCCCCCTATAGCAGCCAAGGAATCCGCCAGCACTGGCAGCATGGGGTGTGACTTGGATTACCGAATCACCGGCAGCTGTAGCAGCATACTTGGAGTCGACTCAAAGCTCACCTGTTTGCCAGAGCTTTCCCCCCCCCTATATAGCAGCCAAGGCATCCACCAGCGCTGGCAGCGGGAGCTGAGATGTGGATGGCGGAATGACCTGCAGCTGTAGCTGCTTCAGCCGTAGCAACAACACCAGTGCTTTGAAAAGCTCACCTGTTTGCCGGAGCTTTCTCCCCCTGTAGCAGCCAAGGCATCCGCCAGCGCTGGCAGCGAGAGGCGTGAGGTTGGTGTGGGGAGTTGAAGCTGCAACAGCCACAGCACCACCATCAGCACCACCATGAGTGCTTGGAGTGGCATCAGCAGCAGAGGTGCATGGGGTTGCTAAGGAAGGAGGAGGGGGAGCGGCATGAGTGGAGGAGGGGGCGCAGATAGGGCAGTGAGGGGGGCAGGAGGAGATGCGAGCAGCGACTGAAGGGTAGAGCAGGGCCGTGTGAGTGACCTGAGGGGGAAGGGCAGTGAGGTGGAACAGGGTGTGCAGGGACGAGGGGGGATGAGGCGCAGAGGGGGCAGTGAGGAGGACAGGAGGAGACGCGAGCAGCGACAGATGGGTAGAGCAGGGCTGTGTGCGTGACCTGAGGGGGTAGGCAGGGGTGGTGTGTGATGGGATGGTGACGCTTCAGTTGCTTGTGGCTGTTCACCATACCTCCAGTGCCACCATCGTGAGCGGGCGGCCACTGTTAAACACAATGGAGGCTGCTTTTTGGGCATGGGTATCAACGTGGGCATGGGTATCAACGTGGGCATGGGTATCGACGTGGGCATGGGTATCAACGTGGGCATGGGTATCAACGTGGGCATGGGTATCAACGTGGGCATGGGTATCAACGTGGGCATGGGTATCAACGTGGGCATGGGTATCAACGTGGGCATGGGTATCAACGTGGGCATGGGTATCAACGTGGGCATGGGTATCAACGTGGGCATGGGTATCAACGTGGGCATGGGTATCAACGTGGGCATGGGTATCAACGTGGGCATGGGTATCAACGTGGGCATGGGTATCAACGTGGGCATGGGTATCAACGTGGGCATGGGTATCAACGTGGGCATGGGTATCAACGTGGGCATGGGTATCAACGTGGGCATGGGTATCAACGTGGGCATGGGTATCAACGTGGGCATGGGTATCAACGTGGGCATGGGTATCGACGTGGGCATGGGTATCAACGTGGGCATGGGTGCGTATGGGTATTGGGATTTGCACCGGACGTCGAGTATGGGTGTGGGTGTGCATGGTTGTCCATACCTCCAAAGGCACCATGGTGAGGGGGCAGCCGCTGTTGAACACAATGGAGGCTGCCTCAGGATCGCACTGGAGGGGAGGGGAGGGGAGGGGAGGGGAGGGGAGGGGAGGGGAGGGGAGGGGAGGGGAGGGGAGGGGAGGGGAGGAGAAATTGAGGAGGGAAACATACGCAGCTCAACATGCGTACTTCAGCATACGCCTAGGCACTATTGTTTTGTATATTTGGAATTTGTAAACGCGAAATGCATGACTAGTAAGCATCCCACCATACCACCCCAGCCCACTTTATCGCACCCCACTCCGTCGCACCCCACTCCATCGCACCCCACTCCATCGCACCCCACTCCATCGCACCTGGATGTTGAACTCTGCTACTGGGCCTGCCACAGTAATGCAAGCAGGGAATGTGACGCAGGTGACGTGAGAGAGAGAATTATATGCGGATGCAAGAGCAGGAGAGAGGAAAGTGCGGGATTTGGGGACAAGGGAGAGGCAGTGAGAGATTGCTTCGAGGCGCCTCAGAAAGCAAAAGTGCGAGATTTGAAGACATGGCAGGCAGTGCGAGGTGAAGAAAACATAATAATCAGCGACATTGGACACAGTATGTGGGCTAAGGACGAAGGTGTAAGGTGATGAATGGAGATGCAAAGAGCTGCAAGGCGGTGCAAGGAGGTGCACAGCGGTGCAAGGAGGTGCAACGAGTCCTCGGCCTTAGAGCTCATTGCACTACGTACCAGTGTTTCCCAGGCCGAGAGCCCCTCCTGTGAGGGCGACGAGAGAGAGGAATGGAGGTCAAGAAGAGAGACGAGAGGCACGGGAGAGGAGAGGCATAAGGGGACGGAGGGAGTGAGGGAGAAGTGAGGAGGAGAGGGACATCACAGTAGGGAGAAAGAGTGGGGCGGGAGGAAAAAGACAGATGAAAGGAGGAAGAATAATGAAAAGAGAGGGAGGTGGGATAAGGCGAAGCATGGTAGGAGAAGCAAACGGTGCGGTGAGAAGCGGTTGCAGTGGGTGGCACGCACCCATGATGACAATCTTGTGTGTTGTTCCGTGTTGTCGGTGATGGGTGACGCGAGAGGGATGCGAGCGGGGAGAGCGAGGGGAGAGCGAGGGGAGAGCGAGGGGAGAGCGAGGGGAGAGCGAGGGGAGAGCGAGGGGAGAGCGAGGGGAGAGGGGAGAGAAACGAATATAGATGGAACAAGGAGGAAAGTGAGGAGGATGTGAGATCCTGAATTTGGAAGGAAGTACGCCGTTAGGAACAGGCAAAAAGGGGCCCTGGGGATGTATGGTGAGCAGCAGAGCAGTTTTGGTGATGCTTCCCGTACACACCAACGCCACCCTCTCCCGCCGCCCCTCCCACAACCCGTCCCCTGCAAAATCATAACAGCTGACCCACCCCACACCCCACCCACCACACACTCCCCATTCCACCCACTCACCTCTATCATGCTCTTGACCTGGGGATGCACGGTGAGCAGCAGAGCAGCGTTGGTGAGACTGCCCGTACACACCAACGCCACCCTCTCCGTTCGCCCCTCCCAAATGTCCTCCTCCTTCTTCCCTGCCCCACCACCTGCAGCGGTGGTACCGACAGCAGTGCCAACAGCAGCAGCGGCTGCAGCATGGGCTGTGTCATGAGTAGCAGGGTCACCGATTACCACTGCTGCCCCGTCTGCCATTGCGCCATCTATCATTACACCATCCTCCATTGCCCCAGTCAACACCGTCCCTGAATCACTCTTCCCCTCTCTTCTCCTCTTTGCTGGAGGCCCATCCCCAGCTGCCCTTCCCCCTGCCGCATTCCCATTCCCTGCTGCATCCTTCACACCAGTGATACCACCAACTCTCTTCCCCGTCCCAGCCCCTCCCCCGCTCTTCAAGTCACTTCGCTCTGCTCCCTGCTTCGCCCCTCTCATCGCTGCCTGCCTCTCTAGAAACGCCCGTCGAATGTGCCGATACATGTGAGTCACAGTTGGCACATCCCCCTCTCCCCCATCCCCGCCCCCTTCTCTGCCCCCCTCCGCCCCTCCCCCACCCGTTTCCCGCTCTAACTCCTCCACCTCCTCTGCCTCCTCTTCTGCCGTGCCCCATAGTGGTGTTTCCTCCCTCTCCCCTCTCTCCTCCCTGTCCTCCCTCGTCTCTGCCCCTCCCCCTTCACCTCCCTTCCCCTGCACCCCCCTCTGCGCCTCCCCCTGCGCCTCCCCCTCCCCCCAGTCGGGCCCATCCAGCCCCGATTCCCCGTGAATCTCGGCGCAGTGCTGCCTGGGGCGCATTAAGGGGGAGGCCTGCCCGCAGAACACAGCTGGTGGATGGGGGAAATCGGGGTGCAAGGACGGCAGGGGAGCAGGGAGGCAGGGAGTGGAAGGGAGAGAGGGGGGGCGGGGAGGCACAAAGGGGAGGCAAGCTACCTGCTGTGTCCGCGTGAATCTCAGCGCAGTGCTGCCTGGCGCGCATTGAAGGAGAGGCCTGCCCGCACAACACGGCTGGTGGTTAAGAGGCAGAGAGCAAGAAGGCAAGCCGCATGAGGGGAGCAGGGAAGCATGCGATTTGCTCTCCCCCCAGTCGGGCCCATCCAGCCCTGTATCCCCGTGGATCTCACCGCAGTGCTGTCACTAAAGAGAGGCGCCCCAAGAGAGAGGCGCCCCAAGAGAGAGGCGCCCCTAGGGAGAGGCGCCCCAAGAGAGAGGCGCCCCTAGAGAGAGGCGCCCATCAGAGCGAGCAAGCTTTCTCTGCGAACAAGCTGCGGCCGCCCGACAGCCGCCCGACAGCCGCACTGCAGCCGCCCGACAGCCGCACTGCAGCCGCCCAGACCGAATCCAGCCCCAACAGCACTCACGAATGTCGGGCCGCGCGCACATTAGCAGCACCCGCCTCGCATTGATTGTCACTTTCTGCACCTGCCACGATTGGGGGTTGCAGGGTGGGCGGCAGGATGTGAGATTGGGTTGAGGATTGGCATTGGGATGGGACTTGGTACTCTGTTGCTGGACGGATTGAAGAGGACAGGGCAGAGCAGGTTAGGCGAAAAGGAGCGCGGAAGGATCTTATTGACACGTGGAACTCACTGATTGGTTGCCGTGAACAGTGCTGATGCCGAGCAGGCGCAGCGACGGGGTGTGGGCGGCAAGAATGATGGCCATGGCGTCATCGTGACCTGCACCACGTCAGAATGACATCAGCATAGCATGTAATGAGTCAGCAGAACGCTATCTCCGCAGAAAGTCTCGTGCTGCATGGACGCCACGATGAGTTAGTAACCACAGCGCGGCATGATAGGGATGCGCGGCGGACTGCAAAGAGAATACGGCCGACGGACCATCCGTCGCACCTGGATCACAGTCTAACCACACGGGGCGCGGCGGGTCCATGGCTGCAAGAACTGGCGGGCGACTTTCACGGCGATTGCGCGGACGAGCGCGCAGCAAATGCGGGTGGCGATGAGCGCAATGGCATTCGCGCGGGAGGCAAAAAGGAAAAAGACAACATCGAAGATCGTAGAATGCAGGCCTGGAGGTGAGGGGTATCGATCCCCTTACCTATCGCATGCGAAGCGATCGCTCTACCATGTGAGCTACACCCCCATGTTAGTGAGAGTCCATGTTACCATTATAGCAAGTCGAAGTTTTTTTTCCCCATATTTGGTTACACGCCACTTGTATTCTACTATCCAACTCCTCTCTCATCTCCCGTCTTCCATCGCCCATCTCCCATCTCCTGCCTCCTGTTTTATCTCAACTTCACAAATTCTCAGCCATCCAATGGCCAATAGCGTCGGATATTGAGCCTGCATCAAGCAGGCCAAACAAAAGTCTGGTGAAGTACCGTATCTACCATAAAGTACCATAGCTTGTTTATGTTAGGAATGTGAACTTCTGATTGGCAGCTCAGCCAAAGTGTGTGCTACTGCTTGCAAGTGCTGGACTGGAACCCTTTCCATGGCTCTGGTTAGACCGGCAAATGGAAATGGCATGGCCCATGGAACAGCCTCATGCTTACAATGTACAGTACACCATAGTACACAGCAGCATCTGTGAAACAGAAGAATTATGCGATTCAGTGCAGTACAGCACAGTGCAGCATTTCAAGTTCAGAACTCTAAACGAAGCTAGCTACAATGCGGGGATAGGCAAGGAGCAGGCAGGCAGTATGTGGTGCAGGCGAACATGATGCAAGGGCCAGGTAGGGTGGTCTGCTGTAACAACGTTAGTCTCTGGAGGTGCTGGGAGCGGCAGGTCTTGTGGTTGTGACGGGGAGGCAGAGGGAGGAGGCTGAGAGGGCAGGGGGAGGGGAAGCCAGGCAATGGTGAGAGTGGAGGGCGAAAGGTGGGGGGGGAAGGAGAGGAGCAGGTGGGCGGGTAGGCTGGCTGCTGGGAGGGAGAGTGACCGCATTCCATGGAACTGGTATTAGGGGAGGGAGAATGTGGGGACAGAGGAAGGAAGGAAATGGCAGGAGGAAATGGTGATGTGAGGAGTGCGAGGTTGTGAAGTGCAGTGCAAGAGGCAAGGATGGAAGCGGATGCGGCGATATAGCACATTGAGCCACCATGACACATGCTGTGCCTACCACCCATCATGAGATACTCATCGCAGAATGCCACCCATCTGGCGACCCACACAAGCTATCACTTGCACCTGCCATGATGCATTTATCACATAATCCCACCCACCATGACACATGGCACATGCTGTGAGCACCTGCCATCATGACACACTCAATGCAAAATGCCACCCACCTGACACATGCCGTGCAGCAGCAGTCTCAGAAACGCATCATCAGCAGCAAACACCAGCACCTGCCTTCCCCCCTCCCCCCTACCCATCGCCCCCCTGTCCTCCTCCCCCTCTGCTGCACCTGCACCGCCCTTCACACCCCCCTTCGTCTGCCCTCCATGTGCCTCCAAAGCACTCTCTACGTCACCCCATGCCGCCTGCACACACCACTCCCGCAACACACTCCCAATCCCGCTTCCACTCCCACTCCCCTCCACCATCCCCTCTCCAGCCACCTGCTCTTGCTCCTCCTTCTCCACCTGCTGCTGCTGTTCTGCTGCATCAAGACCAGAAATGGCTGCTGCACATGGCACAGTGCTGCTGTCGGCCTCCCTGCCATCCTCACCGTTCATCTCTCCTGGACTGCTCGTGGCGCCAGTGGTGGCAGCAGCAACAGCAGGTGGCGGTTGCAGGAATGCAACCAAAAGAGCCTGAGGGAGTCGGAAGGGGGTGGGGTTGAGGTCAGCAAGAGGAGTCATACAAAAGGGAAAGGCATTTTCGGCCGGTTAACATGATCCCACAACAGTCACACACAAAGTGACGGCACACGATTCAACAGTCGCAGAACACACACATGGGCCTCGATACAAGCACATATCACACCATGACTGCCGCCCTCACCTCAACCGTCCCCACCATCCATGTTACGAAAGACGCAACCAGGACGCTGCGTCCTGCGTCTGGACGCAGCGTCTGGACGCTAGGACGCAGGACGCACGGCGATTTTTTTTTGGGCAGCCCGAAAAAATGTATATACATATTTTTTCTGATCGCGATTTCGACATTCGCGATTTCGACGCGATTGTCGAAATCGCAAAATTTCGACCCCCCCGGCCCAATTCGCCATTCTAAACCAGCCCCCCTAGCATTTCATAAACATTCATGCAATTTGGAAATTCTCTCAAACCTCTCAACCACTTCACATCCACGAAACCCAACCTTTGTGGCCCACCACCACCAAGCACATTTAGCAATGCAACCATTTGTGGTTTCTCTCATTTTCCCCACCCAACCAATTCTCTTTCGTAAACCCTTGAGGTTTTAGCTTAGCTTACTACCTAAACTCCGTGATGCGTGACTCACCTTAATCTTAAATTTTGGGGGAAAATTTTGTTTCTGGGGAAAATTTTGCCTTGAAAGTGTGGAAGGTCCCCCCCCGCCCCCTCTCCAAGCCCTATACATTTTTTTTGGCCTGCCCGGGGTTTTTATTGCCTGCCCGGGCTTGCGTCTTTTGGTGCGTCTTTCTGGTCCAGGTTCTGCGTCCTGCGTCTGGACGCATTCGTCCAGGACGCAGGACGCGTCTTTCGCAACATAGCCCACCACCACCCAGACTGCATCTGAGTCGACTGCAAGAGCACACAGTGCCTGCCAGGCCTCACCTCAACGGTCCCCACCACCACCCAGCCTGCAGCGCGCCGCATGGCCCCTCTCGCTGCCTCCGGCACGCGCCTCCATGCCGCCTGTGATGCCGCCATCGCTGCTGCACCTGCTGCTGCCGAATGCTGGGTGCCGCTACTCGCCTGCTCCTGAGACTGCTTGCTCTTGGCCTTGCGGGATGGAAGCTGTGGGAGGTCGCAGGTGAGGGGCGTGGAGTGCGGGGCATATGAGAAGACAAGGGAGAGAGTTGGCAGGGTCGTCCATTTTGGGAGACGATTCAGTGTGGATGACAGAAACGCACTCAGCATTCCCAGATGAGCTCAAACTGACGTGGGCTGCACATGGTGCAACAAGACAAGGGGAGCGAGCGGGACTCCATATGGTGAGAGGCAGAGCTGTGAGTGACTCACCTTGTTGAATGTCGCCCCTGCGAGGTACTGCTGGCACACAAAGGCCTCAAAGGGTGTGGCGAGCGCCACGTCAGACAATCTCTCCAGCACCGGCCTCTCCGTCTTCTCGCCTGCAAGGGAGGTGATGCGAGGACGGAGATGAAAAATGCCAGAGGGGGTTAGACAGTGGAAGGGAAGCACAGCTACCCAAGGGTCTATTTTTGAGTCGACTCAAAAAAAGAAGGGAAGCACAGCTACCCAAGGGTCTATTTTTGAGTCGACTCAAAAAAAGAAGGGAAGCACAGCTACCCAAGGGTCTATTTTTGAGTCGACTCAAAAAAGAAGGGAAGCACAGCTACCCAAGGGTCTACTTTTGAGTCGACTCAAAAAAAGAAGGGAAGCACAGCTACCCAAGGGTCTACTTTTGAGTCGACTCAAAAAAAGAAGGGAAGCACAGCTACCCAAGGGTCTACTTTTGAGTCGACTCAAAAAAAGAAGGGAAGCACAGCTACCCAAGGGTCTACTTTTGAGTCGACTCAAAAAAAGAAGGGAAGCACAGCTACCCAAGGGTCTACTTTTGAGTCGACTCAAAAAAAGAAGGGAAGCACAGCTACCCAAGGGTCTACTTTTGAGTCGACTCAAAAAAAGAAGGGAAGCACAGCTACCCAAGGGTCTACTTTTGAGTCGACTCAAAAAAAGAAGGGAAGCACAGCTACCCAAGGGTCTACTTTTGAGTCGACTCAAAAAAAGAAGGGAAGCACAGCTACCCAAGGGTCTACTTTTGAGTCGACTCAAAAAAAGAAGGGAAGCACAGCTACCCAAGGGTCTACTTTTGAGTCGACTCAAAAAAAGAAGGGAAGCACAGCTACCCAAGGGTGTCATAAAGGGCGTGGCCAGCGCCACGTCTTACAGCCTCTCCAGCACTGGCCGCTCTGCCTTCTTGCCTGCATGGAGAGATGAGGCAATGAGGGAGAGGAAAATGGCAGTAGATCAGGGAGGGGAGAGCAAGATGGATGACGCAAGAGGGCAGAGGTAAAACAGCACAGCTACAGCAGCTACAAAAACCTACCCAAGGGCGGAGATACTCATAGCGAGGTGTCGTCATGCTTACCCCAGGGAGGCGGCGCGTAAAGCGAGGTGACGTCAGGCCCAGTGAGCGGCCCCGCCATGTCCTTTAGCAGCCGCTCGTTCACCCACCGCCGCGCCTTGCGCTGATGTAATGAAAGCCCAATGAGCGGAGAGGGAGGTCCAAAGGAAGAAAAAGAAAGGGTAATTTTTAGACTTCTTCTCAAGAGGGGCCAGTGAGCGGCCCCGCCATGTCCTTGAGCAGTCGCTTGTTCACCCACCGCCTCGCCTTGCGCTGATGCAAGCAGCATGGGCAGAGAGGGAGGTACGGTTTGGAAAGTAGAAGGATAAAGGGGGGACTTTTGAGACGTCTCACGAGGGGCCAGTGAGCGGCCCCGCCATGTCTTTACACAGCCGCTCGTTCACCCACCGCCTCGCCTTGCGCTGAGGGGAAAAAGAGAGGGTGAGAAGGGGAGGGCGGTCCAGAGAGGATGGGGACAGAGGGGTAACTTGTGAGACGTCTCAAGAGGGACCAGTGAGCGACCCCGCCATGTCCTTTAGCAGCCGCTCCTTCACCCACCGCCGCGCCTTGCGCTGATGCACTCAGGGGGAAGGGAGGGGGAGGGGAGGAGAGCGGAGGGGAGGGGAAGGTAGGGGAAGAGTGAAGAACAGGGAGTTGTTGGTGGGCCAGCAGCAATGATGCTTAATCCGACAGTGGAAGGACAGGAAAGAGGACAGCGGGCTGGGGTCTGGGAAAACGTGTTGTCTCGTGCAAGAGAGAAAGATTTCTTATTGGCTGCTTACTTTGACGGCTGTGACTTACCTTGCCTGAGAGCGGCAGAGCGTCTGGTGGTAGCATGAGGGACGAGGCGATCACGGCTGCCGCGTGGGGGGGAGACCAATGAGGAAAAAAAAGGGCAATATTTGGAATGGGGTTGAGTGACGACAATGACTGCTGTTGCAGCTCAAGCGGGTTGCAAGGGTGTGACATGTGCGGACCACGTGCAAGCCGTAGCCGACCAAATGGGAACAAGCAACCGTGCCACCCATCTCACCGTGAGAATGCGCCTGAGCGTTGCGCGGGTCGTGCTCTTCCCCCTTGGTGCTGCGCGCCTTGCCTCTCCTCCGCCTCCCCTGCGCATCGTCCTCGCCGTTCACTAAGCCCAATGACGGGAGAACCCGAACAGGAAAAAAATTAACATAGAAAATTGGCGAAACGGAAATGGTGACATTATAAAGCAGAGTAGAACGTAGCAACAAAGGCATGGAAACGCATAGGGCCTTTAATTGTTACTGAAAGTACTCGACATCAAAGTGTCAGTTGGCGTACGTTGGTACAAACAAGCGGGTCAATCACCTCCGCGTACCGTATCGCGATTGTATAAGCCAGTTATGGAACGACATCTGGCCATGGCTAATGGATCCGAAGGTTACTGAGTCGGCCATTGTGAGCAGTGCGATAGGACGATAGACGTGTTCGTCCTAGAGCCGGCCTGTGCAATGGATGCTTGTCACCGCCAAAACCAAAGTGGCTTCAGTGTCACTGAACGGCCTAGACCAAATGCCCTAGCTGCGCTAAGTACTACGTCACTGCCTATCTCACGCGATTTCAAGACCTTCTAGTTCCAAAGTTGAAGGTGAAAGCGGAGTGAGTCAGGGCGCGGAGGTATCTAGGGAATGTCTGTTGGGTCCCCGCTGGCGTCACTCTGCGTGAGCTGCACTCAACAAAAAGGGGAAAGGGTTCCAAGGAATCTATACCCGTTATTGACAGCTGGCGCAACAAAACGAACAATTTCATACACCAGGCAGCATCACCAATGTACCAAGTTTGAATTTCCAGAACCCCCTGTATCGCGAAAATCGGGCGGACTTTCCGCGGGGCGTGCTGCCACCCTGGTGGTGGAAGGAAAGTGGAACCTTGCACCTATGCTGGCACTAGTTGAGAAATCGGGGAATTCGGTTCGGTTCCGAGGATAAAGATCATAAACAAGAGAACTAGGGGAACACAGCTTCCTGTCGCACGGGCTCCCCTTACAACCACCCCGCCTCGTGGCAGTCGATTATTCCAATCCCCTCGCCTGCCCCAGAGGCTCCGTCGCAGGGCAAAATACGCTGTATGAATTGCGATCAGACCAAGCAGCATTGTCGCGTGGGATGACAGACTCATCCTTTTTGTCCCTTGCGATCATCGCACATCGTCACCACCACACCACCATCCCTTCCCCTCTCCCTTCCGCAATTCCCGTTTTGCAACCCCCTCATCTCCACTCTCACTCACTTTCACTTGGCTCAACTCGCCGCCACCCGCCCAACGTAAATACAGAACAAGCTAGTGTTCTGGCCAATTCGCTTGTTTTGTCTCCGTTTTGTGCTGCGCTCTTGCGGGAGTTCATTCGCCATTTTCAGTTGATTGCGGCTCCAAGCTGTGCATTGCATTGTTGACACCCGCCCGCCATGGCCGCAGTGCAGGTCGTCGCGACTGTCGCAATGTCCAATCCCCGGGTCGCGATATCGTCGCCCATTGTGCAACCGCGTCGCATGTCCCATTCACTCGCAGCCTTTAATCCTTCAATAAGACTCCCCTCCTCGAATTTGTCGCATGCACACCGCCCCGCGCGACGCGACCGCACCTCACGCCAGCATGCCGTTGTCTCTAGCTGTTCCGTGCCATTGCGCGCCGAGCTTCGCGCCGGCCAGCCAACAGTCCAATCATCGTCTTCCCCCAGCACGCGGAAATCCGTGCGCGCGTCTGCAGTTGCGGCACCGCAAGGAGGAGTGCAGTCGTCGTCTTCCGCCGCGGCAGATGCGCGATCGGCGGAGGTTGGCGGAAGTGGCGCGGGGCGAGCAGCGGAAGCGGAAACGTCAGCGGTGGTGCTGCTGGACGTGCGCGAGATGATGTGCGGGGGATGCGCCGCCGCCGTGCGCCAGGTGCTGTCGGAGCATCCGCGCGTGATTAGCGCGGGAGTAAATCTCGTCACCGAATCCGCCGCTGTTACCGTCTCGCTCCGCGCGCCTGAGGCTTCCGCTTCCCCTTCCGCCGCTTCTTCCGCCTCCGCGGCGTTTCCCCCCGCAATTGCGAAGGCGGGTGACGAGGCGACGGAGCTTGAAGCGCTGCGCGCGGAGCTGGCGGAGCTGGTGGAAGACGCGGGGTTCCCCTGCTCCGTGCGCCGCGCAGGGGAGGCGGACGAAGAAGGTAGGGACGGACGAAGTAGGTAGTGTGGGGACGGATGAAGTAGGTAGTGTGGGGACGGGGGCGATGTGGAGGGGAGCAGAGGAGAGGGATGGAGGGTATGACAGACAGAGACAGGACTTCAGCATTATCCTCCAACTTGACTCTTCGTTTCCAATAATTCCTCTAGCGTCTCCCGCTCTCCCGTCGCTTGTCCATCTCCCTCGCCCCTTCTCCGTCGCTCTCCCCCCCAACCCCCCAAAACGCCCCGCCACATCCCCCACCAGCGGAGGCGCGGCGCAGGGAGGCGGCGGAGAGGAGGCAGCGAGCAGTGGCGCGCGCGCGAGTGGACGTGGCGGTGGCGGGTGTGCTGGCAGCGCTATGCTGCGCGCACCACGTGGGGCACCTTTTCCACAGCATGGGGCTGCACGCACTCGCACACGGTACGTAGCGCACAGCTTATGTGTTGTCCATGTGTTGGGCCACCTGCTTGGTGGCGGGCACGCTGGCGGCGCTGTGCTGCGCGCACCACTTGGGGCGTCTTTTCCATGGCATGGGGCTGCACGCCCTCCCCCATGGTACACATAGATTGCTCCGCACTCACATGTGCACACAGCCCCTGTCTGTTCCCTTTCCTCCTCCCTCCCACCCCCAGCTCTCCCCTTGGTTTCATGCTTTTTACTCCCCTTTGTTTCATGCTTTTTACTCCCCTTTGTTTCATGCTTTTTACTCCCCTTTGTTTCATGCTTTTTACTCCCCTTGGTTTCATGCTTTTTACTCCCCTTTGTTTCATGCTTTTTTACTCCCCTTTGTTTCATGCTTTTTACTCCCCTTGGTTTCATGCTTTTTACTCCCCTTTGTTTCATGCTTTTTACTCCCCTTTGTTTCATGCTTTTTACTCCCCTTTGTTTCATGCTTTTTACTCCCCTTTGTTTCATGCTTTTTACTCCCCTTTGTTTCATGCTTTTACTCCCCTTTGTTTCATGCTTTTTACTCCCCTTGGTTTCATGCTTTTTTACTCCCCTTGGTTTCATGCTTTTTACTCCCCTTGGTTTCATGCTTTTTACTCCCCTTTGTTTCATGCTTTTTTACTCCCCTTTGTTTCATGCTTTTTACTCCCCTTTGTTTCATGCTTTTTACTCCCCTTGGTTTCATGCTTTTTACTCCCCTTTGTTTCATGCTTTTTACTCCCCTTTGTTTCATGCTTTTTACTCCCCTTTGTTTCATGCTTTTTACTCCCCTTTGTTTCATGCTTTTTACTCCCCTTGGTTTCATGCTTTTTACTCCCCTTTGTTTCATGCTTTTTTACTCCCCTTTGTTTCATGCTTTTTACTCCCCTTTGTTTCATGCTTTTTACTCCCCTTGGTTTCATGCTTTTTACTCCCCTTTGTTTCATGCTTTTTACTCCCCTTTGTTTCATGCTTTTTACTCCCCTTTGTTTCATGCTTTTTACTCCCCTTTGTTTCATGCTTTTTACTCCCCTTTGTTTCATGCTTTTTACTCCCCTTGGTTTCATGCTTTTTACTCCCCTTGGTTTCATGCTTTTTACTCCCCTTGGTTTCATGCTTTTTACTCCCCTTTGTTTCATGCTTTTTTACTCCCCTTTGTTTCATGCTTTTTACTCCCCTTTGTTTCATGCTTTTTACTCCCCTTGGTTTCATGCTTTTTACTCCCCTTGGTTTCATGCTTTTTACTCCCCTTTGTTTCATGCTTTTTACTCCCCTTTGTTTCATGCTTTTTACTCCCCTTTGTTTCATGCTTTTTACTCCCCTTTGTTTCATGCTTTTTACTCCCCTTTGTTTCATGCTTTTTACTCCCCTTTGTTTCATGCTTTTTACTCCCCTTTGTTTCATGCTTTTTACTCCCCTTTGTTTCATGCTTTTTACTCCCCTTTGTTTCATGCTTTTTACTCCCCTTTTCTTCGATTTTGCCCTCGAATATCCATCTTTCCTCACCTGCCTGCCTCCCTGCACGCCTGTGTGTGCCTTCCTTATTCGCCCCTCTTCCCCACCAGGCGCATGGATGCATGGCGGTGCTGGACAACGTGAGGGCACGCTCTGCCATCGCTGCTGTTGCTCGGCTGTTGAGGCGCCTCGATCAAGCACTCCCGTAAAACGCATTCCTCTATCTGTCTGGCCCCTCTCGTCCCCGCCAGGCCCATGGATGGCGGTGCTGGACGATGTGAGGGCACGCTCTGCCATCGCTGCCATAGCGCTGCTGGGCCCTGCCAGAGGTACTGTACTGGGTGTGTGGCATGTCCTTTAGCCTGCCTGAAGGTACTCAGTGGTAGATGTATGGTGGCATGGTGGCATGCTGGTTGAAGGACAAAGACTTTGGCACGAATGCATCAGGCGCTGCTGCTGCAGGGTTGCACGTGTGCCTGTCCCGTCGCTCTCCGTACTTGTGTTTTTTTCCCGAAATGCGGCCTTCTCTTCTCTTCTCTTCTTCCTCCCCTTTCAGCATCCCCCCACACCACATCGCCTACACCTCTTCTCATCCATCTCTCTTGGCCTCTATCCCTGTGCCTCGCGCCAACACTCTCTCTGCCCTCGTCCCTTCCCCCACACATCCACCGCAACCCCTTTCCCCACATGACCTCCCTCATGGGGCGCCGGATGCCCTCACATCATCAGGGCGCTGCGCTGCTTCTTGAGCTTCCCGCTGCCTCCAACCCCTCTGTCGCCCCCAACCCTGTCCTCTCTCCCCTCCAGACCTGCTGCTGGACGGCATGAAGGCGCTGCTGCGTCGTTCGCCCAACATGAACTCCCTCGTGGGGCTCGCCTCCCTCGCTGCCTTCTTCATTGGCGTGGTAATTGTCATGTCCCCCTCCTCCACTGCCCTCCCTTACTCCATCCGCCCTCGTCCTCTTCCCCCCTCTCGCTCGTGGGCCTCGCCTCCCTCGCTGCCTTGTGCACCGGTGTGGTCACTGCCCGCACCTCCACTGCCCGCTCCTCCACTGCCCGCTCCTCCACTGCCCGCTCCTCCACTGCCCGCTCCTCCACTGCCCGCTCCTCCACTGCCCGCTCCTCCACTGCCCGCTCCTCCACTGCCCGCTCCTCCACTGCCCGCTCCTCTACTGCCCTCCCATTCCTCCCACCTTGCATCCATCCCCCCCCACCACTGCAGGCGGCACAGCTGTACCCGGACCTTGGCCTCGACTCCTCCTTCACTGACGAACCTGTGAGTCATCCCCATTCACATAGCTGTCAGACTGGCGCTCTCTGTCTGCTGCTTCTCGCTGCACCCACCCACCCACGCTCCTGTCTCACCCATGCCCTGGGAGTTCTGCCCTCTGCTTGTCGCCTCCCATGGGAAGGCTCCCACTGGGAAGGCTCCTCGCTGGTGGCCTCGTGGGGCTGATTATGCATGGTGCCGAGCTGCAGAGTGGCACCTGGGGCATGGAGCATGGGGCATGGGGCATAATGCATGTGTGCTGGCACCCCCCATTCAATCACGCACCCCCTCCCTTGCCATCCCTTGTGCCAGGTGATGCTGCTGGCGGTGGTGCTGCTGGGTCGGTCTCTAGAGGCCTCTGCCAGGGCGCAAGCCTCCTCCGACCTCAATGCTCTCATGGTGATGCCTCCTTTTTCGATACCAAGGGACTCCTTTGCATTGCGGTGGGGAATAGGAGCTCAGTGACATGCACTCGTGCTCATAGTTGAAGCTTTGCTCCCATCATTCGCCCTTCATTGTGTGAGCGCCTCATTCTCTCCCCCATCTCACCCCTCTGACCGCTCTACCCCTCCCCATTTCCCTACCCATCCCCATGTCTGTCCATGTGCCAGTCGCTATTGCCCTCCACGGCTCGACTGCTAGAGCAAGACGACAGCGCTGGGGGCAGCGAGCAAGGGGGGGGGGGGGGGGGGAGCAGGCGAAATAACCACTTTCACCTCTCTGACCGCTTTACCCATCCCTGTTCCCCTCCCCATCCCCATGCCATGCCCATGCACAGTCGCTACTGCCCTCCACGGCTCGCCTGCTAGTGCAAGACGACAGCGCCGGGGGCAGTGAGCAGGGGGAGGGGGCAGGGGGGAGCACCCAGGAACTGCTAGCCTCTTTGGGTGCCTCTGGAGTGGGGAGTGGGGGTTTGAGTGAGGGGGGAGGGGGGGTGGAGAGTGGGAGCGAGGAGGAGGGAGGGGAGGGCTTGGCGCTGAGCATGGCGGCGTGGGTGCAGGTGCCGGCCAATCACGTGCGGCCGGGGGACCGGGTGCTGGTGCTGCCTGGTGACGTCATCCCTGTGGACGTGAGTGGCTGTATGCTGACGTGGCTGTGTTGACGTGGCTGTGTGCTGACGTGGCTGTATTGACATGGCTGTAACGTCTGGTGGCTGTGCGTAGAGATAGAGGTGTAGCCACAGAGCCCAAATGCAGAGGAGCTGCCGCTGCTGCTGACGCTTCTGTTGTTGCTCAAGTCTTATTAATTATTCCATTCCATTCCCCTCCCACCTCTGTGTCCCAATCAGGGCGTGGTGGAGAGTGGGCGCAGTGCAGTGGACGAGTCTTTGCAAACAGGGGAGGCAGCCACAGTGCCCAAGCGCAGAGGGGCTACTGTTGCTGCCGGCACTGTCAACTGGGTGAGTGGATAGTGGGCCAGGGCACGCCGTAGCTTGTGTGAGAGAGCTGAAGGGTGGTGTTCCTCCGTGTAACCACTGCCTTACGCATCATGTACACCCGCCTCCTGTATCCTTCCCTTCCCTCCAAGAGGAGGGTCCCATAATTTTATCGGCGACAGCAATGGCGCCAGTTGTGCCGTGTATGAGATGGCACGGCGGGTGGAGGACGCACAGCTTATTTAGGTGTCCTTTCCCTGGCACCTCACTTCCGCTTCCCCACCAACAGGAGGGGCCCATAGTGGTGTCAGCGACAGCAACGAGCGCCAGCTGCGCCATGTGCAAGATGGCACGGCGGGTGGAGGACGCGCAGCAGCACATGCTCCCTTTTTCCTTCCCCCGTTTGCCCCTGTAACAGGAGGGACCCATAGTCGTGTCGGCTACAGCAACAGGCGCAAGCTGTGCCGTGTGTGAGATGGCACGGCGGGTGGAGGACGCACAGCAGCGCACAGCACCCGTGCAGCGCCTGGCAGACGCCATCGCAGGCCCGTTCGTCTTTACCATCATGTCACTTTCTGCTGCTACGTTCGCCTTTTGGTGAGTGGAAACCAGGTGGTGCTGTCTATCCGTTGCCTCAGTAGAAATCAGGACTCACAGCAGCACAGAGCGCCAGTGCAGTGACTAGCAGACGCCACCGCATGGCCCTTTGTCTTCACCATCATGTGTCTCTCTGCCGCGACCTTTGCATTTTGGTGAGTAGAAGCCAGCATGTTTCCGCAGCTTGCTGCTCTGCATCCGGCGCCTCAGTGGGATGACATGGCACGGCAGCGCACGGCACCCGTGCAGCGACCAGCAGACGCCATTTCAGGGCCCTTTGTGTTCACTATCATCACTCTCTCTGCTGCCACCTTTGCTTTCTGGTGGGTTGGAATCTGACCTTCCCATCCCCCATCCTCCCTAGGAATCAGACCCCCCCATCCCCCATTCCTCATCCCCCCATCCCCCATTGCATTTCCCCCTCTTCCTCCCACCCCACCCATGGTACACGGTGGGAGTGCACCTGTATCTGCAATGCTGCTGTCAGACTTTGCAGGGGACGACTCACACCCTCTCGTGCTCAGCGTCAGACTTGTGCCTATCCGCCTTCCCTCCGCACTTTCTTCTCACCCTCTCCTCCCCCCCCACACCAACCACCCACTGCAACCCCCCCAGGTACGCGGTGGGCGTGCATCTGTACCCAGCAGTGCTGCTCTCTGACTTTGCAGGCGACGACTCGGACCCCCTCGTGCTCAGCCTCAGACTCGCCATCAGCGTGCTGGTAAGAGGGGGAGGACCATTGCCGTTGCTGGCGAGGATGGCAAGAGCGCGTTGGTGAGGGAGTAGATGACTCAGAATTGGACTCTGACCCCCTCGTGCTCAGCCTCAGACTTGCCATCAGCGTGCTGGTAATGACACGAGCATCGCCTTTAGTGTTGGTGAGGTGTAACCAGCGATTTGGTAAGGCATGAGTGCAACCAGCGTGCTGGTGAGAAAGGACACGGCTGTTGAGATGCCGCAAAGTCAACTCTGACCCCCTGGTGCTCAGCCTGCGCCTCGCCATCAGCGTGCTGGTGAGGTCAGGAACTACCAGGTAATGGTGGTAATGGTAATGGTAATGGTAATGGTAGTGGTAATGGTAATGGTAATGGTAATGTTAATGGTAATGGTAATGGTAATGGTAATGGTACCACTACCACTACCACTACCATTACCATTATCATTACCATTACCATTACCATTACCACTACCATTACTATTACCATTACCATTACCATTATCATTACCATTACCACTACCATTGTTATTACCATTCTTACTATTATCATTGTCATTAGCATTACCACTACCATTACCATTACCGTTATTCCTGGTGAGGCCGAGTGCAACCAGCATGCTGGTGAGAAAGGACCCGGCTGTTGAGATGCCGCAAAGTCAACTCTGACCCCCTCGTGCTCAGCCTGCGCCTCGCCATCAGCGTGCTGGTGAGGTAAGGAGCTACCAGGTAATGGTAATGATAATGCTATTGTAATGATAGTGGTAATGGTAATGGTGCCACTACCACTGCCATTACTATTATCATTACCATTACCATTACCACTACTATTACTTTTACCATTACCATTACCATTACCATTACCACTACCATTACCATTATCATTACTATTACCATTACCACTACCATTACCAATAGTATTACCATTATCACTACTATTACCATTATCATTACCATTACCACTACCATTACCATTACCATTACCACTACCACTACCACTACCGATCATTTTCATTACCATTACCACGACCACTACCACTACCATTATTATTACAATTATCACTAGCATTACCACTATCATTACCATTACCATTACCATTACCGTTAGTCCTAGTGACGTCGAGTGCAACCAGCGTGCTGGTGAGAAAGGACCCGGCTGTTGAGATGCCGCAAAGTCAACTCTGACCCCCTCGTGCTCAGCCTGCGCCTCGCCATCAGCGTGCTGGTGAGGTAAGGAGCTACCAGGTAATGGTAATGATAATGCTATTGTAATGATAGTGGTAATGGTAATGGTGCCACTACCACGACCATTACTATTATCATTACCATTACCATTACCACTACTATTACTTTTACCATTACCATTACCATTACCATTACCATTACCACTACCATTACCATTATCATTACTATTACCATTACCACTACCATTACCAATAGTATTACCATTATCACTACTATTACCATTATCATTACCATTACCACTACCATTACCATTACCATTACCACTACCACTACCACTACCGATCATTTTCATTACCATTACCACGACCACTACCACTACCATTATTATTACAATTATCACTAGCATTACCACTATCATTACCATTACCATTACCATTACCGTTAGTCCTAGTGACGTCGAGTGCAACCAGCGTGCTGGTGAGAAAGGACACGGCTGTTGAGATGCCGCAAAGTCAACTCTGACCCCCTCGTGCTCAGCCTGCGCCTCGCCATCAGCGTGTTGTTACTGAAACAAGCATCGCCTTTTCACTACGCGATTTCTCTTGCTCCTCTCTTCCCAGCCATTCCCACATGTGTGTCTCCAATCCACAACCCTTTTATACCCAACCCCATGCTTCCCAACCCCGTTAGTCCCCACCTCCCTGACTCCATTGCACCTGCTGCTCTGCTCCCTTTGACTGATCCCTGCTTCTCACTCCCCACCCCAGGTGGTCGCCTGCCCATGTGCGCTCGGCCTCGCCACGCCCACCGCCATCCTCGTTGGCACGTCCCTGGGTACGGTCTCTCTGCACCGCAGCACACCTCTCTGCTCTGCACTGCAGCACCTTCTCCACCACACAGAACACCTTTCTCCCACCCATGTGCACACTTGCCGAACGATGCCGAACCATGCCGTACCTTGTCGTGTCATGACTTTCCTGCCTTACACAGCACTCATTCATCTGCCCGCATGGGTGAATGTGCGTGCGTGCATGCGTGCGTCCGTGCGTGCGTGCGTGCGTGTGTGCGTGTGTGTGTGTGTGTGTGTGTGTGTGTGTGTGTGTGTGTGTGTGTGTGTGTGCGTGCGTGCGTGCATGCTTGCATTTGTGCGTGCATGGCAGGGGCGAGGAGGGGGCTGCTGCTGCGTGGGGGGGACGTGTTGGAGAGGCTGGCAGCAGTGGATGTGGTGGCGTTTGATAAGGTGAGATGAGATGTGAGATGAGTGGACACGATGAACAGATACATCACGATGAACAGATACATCACGATGAACAGATACATCACGATGAACAGATACATCACGATGAACAGATACATCACGATGAACAGATACATCACGATGAACAGATACATCACGATGAACAGATACATCACGATGAACAGATACATCACGATGAACAGATACATCACGATGAACAGATACATCACGATGAACAGATACATCACGATGAACAGATACATCACGATGAACAGATACATCACGATGAACAGATACATCACGATGAACAGATACATCACGATGAACAGATACATCACGATGAACAGATACATCACGATGAACAGATACATCACGATGAACAGATACATCACGATGAACAGATACATCGCAAGGCGAGGCGAGGTGGGCGTACCTGATTCTCGTCCCACAGAGGAAGTGACTGAAAGCTAATAACTTGTAGTCCCAGCCAGTCAATCCCCCTGTCACCTCCCCTTGACCACGTCCTGTTTCATTCTCCCCCTCTTCGCCTCTCTCCCCTCCCCCAGACGGGCACGCTGACAGCAGGACAGCCCCAGGTGTCTGCTGTGGTGCCTGCAGCCCACCTGCCGCCCATCACTCTCCACCACTCACACTCCCACTCCACCTCCCTCCACCAAGACCCAGGCACAGCGTCGTCAACCCACAGACACACCACCACCACTGCTACTGCCATTGCTACCGATGCTGATACTGCCACTGTGACTCTCTTGCGCCTGGCAGCAGCAGCAGAGGCCACCACTCGTCACCCAGTAGCAGCCGCCATCACCGCCCACGCCACCCGCCTCTCTGCCGCCCCGCTGCCGCCCGTTTCGTCTGCTCTCACGGTTCCCGGGCGGGGCGTGGTGGCTGTAGTGGATGGTAGAGAGATCCACGTGGGGGGCTTCGATTGGGTGGCAAAGCATTGCTTGGGGGGAACAAGGGAGAGGGAGGGGAGGGGAGGGAATGGGAAAGGGAGTGAGGTTGAAGGGGAGAGGGAGAGATGGCGGAGAGTGGAGGAGGGGGTGTTGAGAAGGGATCGTGGAGGCGTAGGAAGGAGTGAGGAGGGAGGGGATTGGGGCAGCAGGGATAGCAGCAGCAGCCACACGTTTGTGTATGTTGGTGAAGTGAGGAGCGAGGTGGAGAGGAGTGAGGGGGATACGGGCGAGGGAGGAGAGGGGGAGAGGAGGGGGGCGGCGGAGGAGGGAAAGAGCGTGGGCGGCATTCTCGGGTGCATCTGTGTGAGCGACTCACTGCGCGCCGAGGCAAGGGAGACCGTGAGGCGGTGAGTGGAGGAGATCAAGTGCACAGTTATTTGTGGGTGGCTTGTGATCAGACATCCCAGCGAGCAGCAGTTTCTAAGGAGAAGGTTTAGCAAAGGAGAAAACAGTTGTAGTAAAAATCCTAGCTGATTCGCGTAGGGTTCTGTAAAGTCAGAGCTCTTCACTAAGCAAAAACCCCCTTCCTTGCCCGCTTCCTCCCCCCCTCCTCCACAGGCTGGAATCGCTCGGAGTGTCAGCAGCGGTGCTGTCGGGCGACCGGCAGGCGGCAGTGACGCGCGTGGCAGAGGCTGTTGGCATTGCTGGCCCGGGGAAGGTTCTTGGAAGGCTGCTGCCCGAGGGCAAGGCGGAGGCGATTGAGGGCATGCAAAGGGACAGTCACAGCGTGGCGATGGTGAGATGACATGGGGGGGGTGGGGAGGGGGGAAGCGGGGAGTGGGCAAGACGGCGGGCAAAACCGCTGCTGGAGGGCAAGACGGAAGCGATTGAGAGCATGCAAAGGGACGGTCACAGCGTGGCGATGGTGAGACGAGAGGCGGGAAGTGGGGGGGAAGGGGAGGAAGGGAGTGGGTGACGAGGGTGGAGAAGGGAGAAACATGTAGTGGGACGGGCATAGTGTGGCAGTGGTGAGAGGAAGAGAGGAGGAAGGGTGGACGGGCATAGTGTGGCAGTGGTGAGAGGAAGAGAGGAGGAAGGGTGGACGGGCATAGTGTGGCAGTGGTGAGAGGAAGAGAGGAGGAAGGGTGGACGGGCATAGTGTGGCAGTGGTGAGAGGAAGAGAGGAGGAAGGGTGGACGGGCATAGTGTGGCAGTGGTGAGAGGAAGAGAGGTGGAAGGGAGTGGGTGAGGGTGGAGGACGGGGGGAAATGTAGCGAGACAGGCACAGCATGGCATTGGTGAGTGGGGGATGGTGATAGAGAGGGGGAGGGTGGTGAGGAAAGGGGATTGTGAGAGAGAGGGGGAGGGTGGTGAGGAAAGGGGATTGTGAGAGAGAGGGGGAGGGTGGTGAGGAAAGGGGATTGTGAGAGAGAGGGGGAGGGTGGTGAGGAAAGGGGATTGTGAGAGAGAGGGGGAGGGTGGTGAGGAAAGGGGATTGTGAGAGAGAGGGGGAGGGTGGTGGGGAGAGGGACGAGGAGTGCTGCCACCCTCTGCTGTGCTGCCACCCTCTGCTGTGCTGCCACCCTCTGCTGTGCTGCCACCCTCTGCTGTGCTGCCACCCTCTGCTGTGCTGCCACCCTCTGCTGTGCTGCCACCCTCTGCTGTGCTGCCACCCTCTGCTGTGCTGCCACCCTCTGCTGTGCTGCCACCCTCTGCTGTGCTGCCACCCTCTGCTGTGCTGCCACCCTCTGCTGTGCTGCCACCCTCTGCTGTGCTGCCACCCTCTGCTGTGCTGCCACCCTCTGCTGTGCTGCCACCCTCTGCTGTGCTGCCACCCTCTGCTGTGCTGCCACCCTCTGCTGTGCTGCCACCCTCTGCTGTGCTGCCACCCTCTGCTGTGCTGCCACCCTCTGCTGTGCTGCCACCCTCTGCTGTGCTGCCACCCTCTGCTGTGCTGCCACCCTCTGCTGTGCTGGTGCGCGCAACCTCTGCTGTGCTGCCACCTTCTGCTGTGCTGGTGCGCGCACCCTCTGCTGTGCTGCCACCCTCTGCTGTGCTGGTGCGCGCAACCTCTGCTGTGCTGCCACCTTCTGCTGTGCTGGTGCGCGCAACCTCTGCTGTGCTGCCACCCTGTCGATCAGCTTTGCCACCAGCTCGTGACCTAGCCCTAGTCGGTGTAGTGCACACGTGGGCGTGGCACTACCTCCCCTCCGCCTGGCATCTGCATCCAATCAATCCCTCTTCTCCCTTCACCTCTTTCCTTTTCCCCCTTTATCCTCACCCCCCCTCACACACACCAGGTGGGTGACGGCATCAACGACACACTCGCCCTGGCTCGTGCAGATGTGGGAGTGGCAGTGCCTCCCCCAGGTGCCACCTCGGCCGTTATGAGTGCTGCTGCCGACGCTGCTGATCTTGTGCTTCTCGGCAACCGACTCACACAGGTGAGACCTTTGAGGCGCATCACTAGGGGCACATATTAGGCGCCTCACTCGTGGGAGTGGCGGTACCTCCCCCGGGTGCCACCTCCGCTGTCATGAGTGCTGCTGCTGGCGCCGCAGACCTTGTGCTGCTGGGCAACCGACTCACCCAGGTGCGCCCCTTGAGAAGACCACTAGTGGCAGTGCCTTTCCCAGGTGCCACCTCACAGGTGCGACCTTTGAGGTGCCTCAAAAGGGGCCGTCAGTACCTCCCCCTAGGTGCCACCTCGGCTGTCATGAGCGCAGCTGCTGACCTCCTGCTGCCGGGCAACCGACTCACCCAGGTGCGACCCAGGTGCCTCAAATGTGGCAGTCACTGCCTCCCCTCTCCCGTCTCATCACTCGTTTTTGTCTGCTTTCAACCGTTTTCTCTGCCCTCCTCTTCCTGCAGCACTCCCTCCCGCCTGTCCTCCCTGCCTCAGTTTCTCTGCCACACCGCACCTTATCTTTGTGCTCCCTCCGCTTCCTACTCATCCTGCCATTGCCTCACTTCCTTGCGTTCCTACCCCCGCAACTCCCCCCCATCACCTGCTAGTGGAGGCGGTGCATCTAGCACAAGCCACAAGGAACAGAGTCCGTCTCAACCTCGTTCGGGCCCCACCCACAACTGCCCATCCCTCTTCTCCCTCTTCTCCCTGCTCTCCCTGCCATGCCTCACTTTCTTTGCGTTCCCACCAACCCCACCCCTCCGTCCTCCCCCCATCACCTGCTAGTGGAGGCGGTGCATCTAGCACAAGCCACAATGAACAGGGTGCGCCTCAACCTCGCATGGGCCCTCGCCTACAACCGCCTCTTGTCCTCACCTTCCTTCCATCCCACTCCCCCCCCCCCCTCCTCCAACCAGCTAGTTGGGGCGGTGCATCTAGTGCGAGCCACAATGAACAAGGTCCGTCTTAACCCTGCCTGGGCTCTTGCCGACAACCTCCTCTCCCTCCACTCCCTACCATGCCTCTCTTCCTTGCTTCCCCATCCCCCTCTACCTATGCCAGCTAGTGGAGGCGGTACATCTAGCGCGGGCCACAATGAACAGAGTGCGTCTCAACCTCGCCTGGGCCCTCGCCTACAACTGCCTCGCCGTGCCGCTGGCCGCTGGAGCCTTCCTGCCGGCCTATGACATTGCCCTCACACCCACGCTTGCTGGTATGATTATCATGCTCACCCCTTGTCGGTATGATTATCAAACAAACTGCCTACTACTGCCTCGCTGAGCTGCATGCTGCTGGGGCCTTCCTGCCGGCCTACGACATGGCTCTCACACCCACTCTTGCTGGTACGACTGTAATGCTCACCCTTGCACAGCTGGTAGTCATGCCCACTTCGCTGCGCCCTTTGCCCCACCAACGTTTCCTGTCATGCACCGCATTCACAAGCCTCTGTCTCACCCCCTCCTCTTCTCCGTGCACTGCCCTTCATCTCTCTCCCCTCTCCCCTCTTTCCCCTCCCCCTCTTGCCCCCACTCTCCTCTCTCATTTTCCTTCTCTCCCCTCTCCCCCCTCTCTCCATCTCGCCTGCAGGGGGCCTCATGGCTGGGAGCTCTGTGCTGGTGGTGGTCAGCTCGCTGCTGCTGCGACTGCACAAGGCACCGCAGTGAACCACAGGGCACCGCTGCAACTTCAGATGTTCCTCAAAGATGGGTGCCTGAAAAAGGCTGGCTGGCTTCGAATCCAGTGGTGCTGGCTGTGCTGATGATCTCCTTGGTCGACGCAGTCACACAACTGGAACTGTGTGGTTACAGTACCATACTCTTGTTACTAGCACCATTATTGAAATTCTACATTGATTTTGCTGTGGGCTACACTGAATCCAGGTGACAAGAACTTTCTCCTGGCATGGTGTCAGCAGCAGTGCTGAGCTGGGCATGGAAGAATCTGTAAAAGTGGATGCGTTAGCTTTAGTATGGCCAGGGATGCGCAACAGCATCACTGTGGTTGGACGTTGCTTGGTGCAGAGAGCTCAATTGGTCTAACAGAGTCAAACACATTGTTGGTAGGCTACCTTATGTACTAGTGTTACATGCTAACCGTGTGCATGTGAACATTCATCATTCTGTGTTGCTGACTCCTAGCCTCTTGATATACCGGCGGCAGCATGAGCAGAGCAGGGCATATACAACGAGGGACGAGTTGAGTTGCTGTTTATGGATGGGCACAGGGCAGCAAGCCAGCAGGACAGCAGCACCCCTCTGCTGCACTGCAACATTACTGCAGGTACACCACATGCGACATGCTCCCCCCCTTGCGCTACCTCACTGCAGGTACGAGACATATTTCGCCGACAGCAGCAGCTTCTGCACGGCCAGCAGGGCCTGCTTGCGCACCTCCGGGTCGGCATTGTCCAGCAGACGCAGCACCCGCTCCTTGCCCTTCATGTCGTGCGCCACTCCCCGCCCCGCTGGGTGATACGTGATGAACTGCCCCAGGTCGTGACACGCCACTGCCAGCGTGCGGGGCTCGTGGCTCGTGTCGAGCAAGGCGACGAGAGCTCGCAGTACCTGGGGTGGGGTAAGGCGGAAGGAAGAGGGGATTTAGAAGGTGATGTGGGAGTGGATCGGTGACATGAGATGAACTGCCCCAGGTCGTGACATGCCACTGCCAGCGTGCGGGGCTCGTGGCTCGTGTTGAGCAAGGCGACGAGAGCTCGCAGTACCTGGGGTGGGGTAAGGCGGAAGGTGAAGTGGGGTTGGTTGGATCGGATGTCCACTGCGCGTAAGACACGAGATGAATGCCCCAGGCCATGACATGCCACTGCCAGCGTGCTTGGCTCGTGGTTCGAGTTCTAGTAAGGCCATGAGTGAGTGCTGGCCGCACCTGAGATGGGGTAGGCAAAGGGGGCAGTTGAAAGGTGGCGTGCAGGTGGAAGGTCGGGATGTTTAAGGTGCCTCAAATATGAGGTAAATTTCCCCATGTGTGGCACGGTAGCAGCACAGCACGGTAGCAGCACAGCACGGTAGCAGCACAGCACAAGGCTGCGTCCCTGTGCATGGGCATCCAGTCGAGCCAGGCACCCTCACAACCGCACTGCACCACACACCACCCAACCACATACCTGGAAGTCGTTATCCTCAAAGTGCATGACATTCTCGCGCCAGAAAGCCGCGTCCTTGTGCATGGGCGTCCAGTCAGTCAACCCCAAGGCGCTCACACAACCACGCAGCACCGCACGCCACCCAGCCATCCGTACCTGGAAGTCATTATCCTCGAAGTGCATGACATTCTCGCGCCAGAAGGCGGCGTCCTTGTGCATGGGCGTCCAGTCGAGCGAGCCAGAGAGCACCTCCTGGCGGTACTTATCAAACGAGCTCATCACTCGCAGGTTGTGCCTCAACCCCACGTCCAGGGCCTCTAGTGCCTCCTTCAGGTCCTGGTCATTGTAGCGGTGCGAGAAGAACAGGGAACAGAGAGGGAAGGAAGGGAAGGCGGTGTGATATGGGGCGTATGAGCGAGCTGAGAGCACCGCCTGGCGGTACTTGTGGAACGAGCTCATCACGCGCAGCGCAGGCTGTGCCTCAACCCCACGTCCAGTGCTTCCAATGCCTCCTTCAGGTCATGACAATGCATTATGCCATGGTATGCCATGCTATGCCATGCCATGGCACTGACCTCGTCGTGCCACGCGTGCAGCTTGAGGCTCTGCACGACCTTGGGCAGCCCCAGCTCCACCATGGACGCACCCAGGTGCCCACGGGTCATCAGGTTGCTCAAAGTGAGCACTGCCACCCGCACTATCTGCGGCACGTGTGGGGGAGGGAATTTGGGGTTGGTGGAGGTGCAGAGGTGTGAGCTGCTGTGCAATTGTATGGCAGCCCCAGCTCCACCATTGACGCTCCCAGGTACCCACGGGTCATCAGGTTGCTTAGGGTGAGCACAGCCACTCGCACTATCTGTAGCACATGAGGGGGGGGAGGGGAGGGGGGGGGGGGGGGGGGGGGGGGGGGTGGTTGGAAGAGGTGCAGAGGTGTGACGCTCTGCTCTACCAGCTAACTACCTTTTCTTAACCCTCGCTAACACACCCCCTGTGCTCCCTGTCTCACCTTCTCCTTGGCGGAGCTCTTAGCGACGTCAATGAGGCGCGGCAGCACACGCGAGCAGGACGAGAACAGTGAGTGGAGTGAGAGAAGTGAGTGGACTCGGTCCGCCTGACCAGCTGCCTACCTTCTCCTTGGCGGAGCTCTTGGCAGCATCAATGAGGCGCGGCAGTATGCGCGTCTGACGAATGCTCAGAACCCCCTGCCTCACACACCCCGCCAGCGCTCCCTGTCTCACCTTCTCCTTGGCGGAGCGCTTGGCAATGTCAATGAGGCGCGGCAGCACGCGCGCCTGGCGAATGTCGAGTTGACTTTTGAGTGGACTCAGAAATCTCCCCCCCCCCTCCCCCCCCCCCACTCCCCCCCCATCCCTGTCCGACCACCTACCTACCTTCTCTTTTGCAGAGCTCTTGGCGACGTCAATGAGGCGTGGCAGCACACGCGCCTGGCGAATGGCCTCCAGGGAGGGCTCGTGGAAGGAGAGCAGCCAAAGGCACAGCACAGCCTCGTACAGCAGCTGAAGGAAAGGGAAATAAAGGGGGCGAGGAAGGGAGGTGGGGGAGAGCAGGGGTGTGAGACGGGAAGAGACAGGGGCACAGGGTCAGGGGCCCGGGCACTCATGCAGTGCTGTCAAACAGCATGCATTGTGACCCATGGAGCATCTGGTTCTGGCCGGCCATGGCACAACGTACAGCAGCAGCAGACAGCACAGAAGCAAAAGCGTGTGAGGAAGCCCACACCAAAACGAATCACACCATAACGCATCACACCACATGCCATGCCAACACACCTGCATCTGGTTCTTCTGGCCAGCCACGGGTGCAATGTAGGGAAGCAGCAGGTACCACACAACACAACCCCATCCAAAAGCACACACCATAACAAACCACACCATAACGCATCAAACCATCAGCCATCACACCTGCATCTGGTTCTGGCCAGCCACGGGTGCAATGTAGGGCAGCAGCAGGCGCACGCCATCCGCCTTGGCAAAGATGGATCGAGCCGACACGTCCCTCAGTGTGGTGGCGAGCGCTGTTATGGCTGCTGGCACCGCCCGCACCGGGTGCACCGGGCGAGTCAGCTGGGGGCAGAAGGGAGGGAAGGGGGAGGCGGAGATGTGTGGGGAAAGGGTAAATATGGTGCGGGTGAGGGGGAAGCGAGATGACTGGGACGTGGACATGGCAGAGCACTCACCTGGTGGCAGAGCACTCACCTGGTGGCAGAGCACTCAACTGGTGGCAGAGCACTCACCTGGTGGCAGAGCACTCACCTGGTGGCAGAGCCAGGCGATCAAGGGCTCGAGGACATAGTCTATGTTGCCTGCTGGGGGGGACGCGGGCGTCACTGCCCCTGCCGATGGTGCTGCAGGCGCAGATTTCTTAGGCGCCTCAAAAACCTGGTGGCAGTCTGGCAGCGCACTCACCTGGTGGCAGAGCCAGGCGTTAAAGGGCTCGAGCACATAGTCTATGTTGCCTGCTGCGCCTGCGGGCGTGACTGCCCCTGCCGCTGCTGCTGGTGCTGCTGCTGCAGGGCGCGGACGTGCTGTGGGGTCGAGAGCTGGTGGGCGGGCAGGCACGAGGCAGGAATGACCGTTGGAGAGGGGTTGATCAAAAAAAGGGAGGGGAGATGCAAGGGAGGACGTTATTATGTTTGGAAGGGCAGGTGCTGTGGACGCATGTTTGCCATTTACTGGATACACAGGGGTGAGGCAAGGACCTGGTGATGCAGAGATGCACGCACACGAAGCAGCAAACAGCAAAAAGCACCCACAGAATGCTGAGAGAGAAATGCATGGCAAGAAGCAGAGCACTCACACGATGGCTTGCATGCGACGCAGCAAACAGCATACAGGGCTCACACAACAGCACGTATGACAAGCAGCACTCACACAATAATGAGGGGCAGAATGCGAGACGTGGCCTCCAGCACGAACCAGTTGGTGTGCCCCAGCAATCTGTCAAGCACGTGCCATGTTCGGATGGGGGGGGAATGGGGTGCGCAAGAGAGAGGTGTGCAAGAGAGAGCTGTGCAAGAGATAAGCGTGGAAGAACAACGTATACGTGAATCCGCGACGTGGCCTCCAGCACGACCCAGTTGGTGTGCCCCAGCAGTCTGTGCGGCACGTGGGGTGGCGGAGGGGCGGGCAGGGCATGGCGGGAAGTTCATGGTCGGATGGTGGAGGAGCGGGCAGTGCAGAGATGGAAAGGGTTGTTGACAAAATGTACGACTGGTGAGAAAGGTGTGCAAGAGATGGGTGAGGAAGGGAGGGCACCTAATGAAGGGCGCTCACTCACCTGATGAAGGGCGCTCACTCACCTGATGAAGGGCGCTCACTCACCTGATGAAGGGCGCTCGCTCACCTGATGAAGGGCGCATAGACATCGTCCGTTATGGATGGGTCATGGAACAAGCGCGCCCTCTTCTTGTCCCCTGCAGCACACAGAAAGAAAGGGCGACGAGAACGCATGGCGCGTGGGAGAAGACAGTCAAAGTGTTACCACGTTGCTTCACTCGTTGCTCGGTCACCAGACACGATGCCATCAGTTGCAATGGGCAGTTCTAAGCACGAGCTCGTTTTCCTCTAGATGAGTTCGTCAGCGACAAAAGAAAGACTCGGTACTTGTTAACAGCTCGTCGATGAGGGCGATAGTGTACTCCACGGTCTCCTCTTTAAAGACATTCTTCAGTACGGATATAAACGTGCGCACGTATCCGACGCCGTTCTGTCAGGTCAAGAGTGGAGCCAGACGAGAAAAGGAGACGAATAGCGACACGAGCAAGGGCACCAAGAAGTAGGGATAGCACTCAAGTTGAGACAAGGCCATTCAGTGTTCCATAATATGGAGCTATGGAGGAACAGCTGCGATGCTGACACAAGTCGCAACAGCAGTGACGAGAAACGACATGCCTGAATACTTTCGCTTTGTAGGGAACCAGGCGAGGGGACACCATGCCGGTCGGCCAGGACGAAAGAAACGCGAGAAACGTAAATGGGAGGGGAGGGAGGGGGGGGTGGGGAGAGGAGCGAGGAGAAGAGAAGCAGTTGGGGCGGCGCTTGCCTCTTCGAGCAGCGCGGCCTGGACCTCCTTGGAGCGGTGGTCGTAGCGTCGCAGCAGCTGGAAGTCCGTGCCCGTGATCAGCTTCGCCGTCACGTACGTGTCCCACGCCACGTCGCCCAGCAGCACCTGCGACGGCGGGCAACGGGAACCAGGCGTCGCACGCGACGGAAAATGTCATCGCACATGAGGATGTGAGGCGGTTCGCAGGAGCAGGAACAGGCATATCAAAGTGGCATGGGATGGGACGCTTTAGCTATAGCAATGTGGTGCGCGGCAGATAGAGCGATGTCGGCTGCAGATCTGAGGGCCGCGAGTAACGGCCCGAGGAGCACGGCAACAGCGAGAACAACGGGACATGGATCTGAAAATGGGATCAGTAGGCATCTAGAAATAAAAACAGGTGCTTTGTGATCCGAGCTCGATAACAGTCGCCTTAAATCATTCGTGTGCTAACTAATGGTGAGCAAATGACGGCTGGATCCGAGTGCGCACCTTCTCCTTGTACGACTCGAACGACCCCTCCATCTACTCGATCTCGCGCAAATCCTTCAGCCAATAGCGTGAAAGAGATACTAGCAAGTGCGGAGATGCCGCTTATGCACGGTGAGATAAGCTGTGTTCAGTCACGTGCTTTCAGAAACGGCAATGGAGGAAAAATCTGAACGAAGCTGACTGGTGCTCAGTCAAATGTGCTTGCTAGCCCTGCTTGCTACGTGGCTGGGCAGCGAACCCCAAGGGGAATCACAGCAGAGCACAGCACAGCAGCCTGAAGCAGAGCCGCTTCTGACAATATCGAGGCAATACATTGTTCCGACATCTGAACGTCGATAGTGGGAAAAATGAATATCTAGACAATAACATTTGGTGTGTTCTTATTCTCTGATGTTGTAATATACCGAGTGTTACACAACCAAATATCGAAACGTTTCGTGCCCCTCGCCTGCAGGCGTGGCGCTGACATTGCAGCAGGCGAGGTTTCGGACCCTCTCGTCTCTTCGCCCTGCCTCCGCAACTCCCCTCATTACCTTTCTGCGCAATATCAACCCCGCCTCACCGCTCTCCTCTACTGCAAGAAGACCGAATCTGAAATCCACCAAGCATCCGCCCACTTTGTCCCAACTTTCAGGATCTGCTAAGGGCGTGTAACTTTTTTCCGAACCGACGGTCCGGACGGCATACGAAACCTTTCGTCAATGCTCGCATGCTCTCCAATTCGATAACGGGCTCAAACGGTCTGGACCTTGAACGGGATACCCCATTCGCACGTCGTCCGTACCGTGTGGTTCGGAAACAAGTTACACGCCCTAAAGCCAGTTCAAGTTAGCTTCATCGCTTAGTTCAAGTTAGTTTCTAGCCTCAGTTTCATTCATATTCAGTACGTGGTGAAAATTCGCAAAGCTGCTGCTATTTGTTGTTTCGATTGGTGTAGCAGCAACGGCCAGCAGCAGCGCACACACACAGGAGGAGAGAGAGACGCAGCGTGGAGTGGGGCGATGAAGGTCACAGTGAAGACCCTCAAGGGGCTTCAATTCGACGTCAACGTCGAACCGTCAGACAAGGCAAGAACCGTCGAATTGCCAGATGACGCAAGATCCGCCGATGCGTCGCCGATAGTTTCTCTGTCAGGACCGGAATCTGCCACATGGATACCTGCGTGCTGGTAGATCCACTATCGAGATTTACCATAGCGAATCTCTGTGCCCTAAACCCGTCGAATCCCCGCAGATAGCGGAAGTGAAGGGGAAGATTTTCAAGATTTAGGGCGCGGCGTTGATAGATGCGCTGTCTTGATTTATACTAGTGATTTTATCGAGCGCATCGGTGATCCTCTGTGACCCGCACTCCCGCAGGTGGCGGAGGTGAAGGGGAAGATCTTCGAGATTCAGGGCGCGGCGTTTCCACGCGAGCAGCAGCTGCTGATCCACCAGGGCAAGGTGCTCAAAGACGACTCCACGCTCGCCGACAGCAACGTCTCGGAGAATGGCTTTCTTGTCGTCATGCTGACAAAGGTACGCCGCGTCACGTCCAACCGCGTGCCACGCCACGTCCATCGTTCTGGGCACGTCACGCCGAGCCGTCGCTCCACCCTCCTCCAGATCCGCCTCTCTGTTTCTCCTGTCTTTGATGTCGATCTGGCGGTTTCTTGCCAGTCGGGACGATTCCTGTTATGTTGGTTCTATCGACCCTGATTTCGGCCGTGTGTGTGTGTGTGTGTTCCTTGCAGCCTAAACCCGGAGCCGCGGGGGCGTCGTCATCAGCGCAAGCAGCGGTACGTCATCTTGCTCTTCTTTTTCCCCAACCGGGACTCTTTTTAGAGCGTCGATTAGCTTGCTGGACGCTTAAAACATTAACTGATAGTGAGTAACGATAATAAAGCGCATATGATGTCATGATTTTCGTCCCCCCAGCCTGCAGCCACCCCTGCGCCAGCGCCTACTGCGCCACCAGCGGCCGCGCCAGCGGCACCAGCGGCGCAAGCACCCCCCGCAGCGCCGGCCGAGCCCGCCGCTCCAGCCGCACCCGCCGCCCCGCCTGCCGCCACCGCCGCACCCGCAGCAGCAGCGGGCGAGCAGGCAGGGAGTGGCGCGGCGGCGGAGAGCGGGGGGGTGTACGGGCAGGCGGCGTCCGCGCTGCTGGCGGGGCCGCACCTAGAGTCGACGGTCCAGCAGATCCTGGAGATGGGCGGCGGAAGCTGGGATCGCGACACGGTGCTGCGCGCGCTGCGGGCGGCGTTCAACAACCCCGAGCGCGCCGTAGAGTACCTCTACTCGGTGCGCGCCCCTAACCCCTCCGCAGTGCACCGCACCTAGCCTCACCGTACTCCACCGTTTTTCACCTCTTCTCTCCTCTTCTCATCCCACATCACCGCTTCTTACCTGACTCTCCTCCACTCTGTGCGCACACCGCATCCCACCTCACCCCACCTTCCCGCACCCCCCTAACTTCCCTGCCCCTTTCCGCAGGGCATACCAGAGACGGCCGCTCCGCCTGTGGCGCGCGCGCCCCCAGCGGCGGGAGGGGGAGGGGAGGCGGAGGGCATGGAGGACGTGGCGATGGAGGGCGGCCCCAACACCGCGCCTCTCAACCTCTTCCCCCAGGTACCCGCTTTCCCCAGGTACGCCCTTCCCTCAGGTGCGCCCTTCACCCAGGTAAGCTTATCCCCCGTGTGCGCTTGTCCCCCAGGTGCGCTTTTCCCCAGGTGCGCTCTTCCCCCAGGTGCGCTCTTCCCCCAGGTGCGCTCTTCCCACAGGTGCGCTCTTCCCCCAGGTGTGCGCCCTTCCCCTAGGCGCGCTCTTCCCCCAGACGTGCTCTTCCCCCAGGTGCGTTCCCCCAGGTGCGCTCTTCCCCCAGGTGCGCTCTTCCCCCAAGTGCGCTTTATCCCCTCGTTGCGCTCTTCCCCCAGGTGCGCTCTTCCCCCAGATGCGCCTTCTCCCCCAGGCGTGCCCTTCCCCCAGGCGCGCTCTTCCCCCAGATGCGCTCTTTCCCAGGTGCTCTTCCTCCCCTAGGTGCGCGCCTGCTCACCTCTCACCCATTCCGCTTGTTTTCCCCACTCGGCCCGCACTGTCCTGTCCCCATGTCTGCACAACCCCTCACGCCGTCTCGTCCTCCCTTGCGCTGCTTACCTTGTTTTCCCGTGCGAGAAAATGCTCTTCTCCTCGTGTCGCTCTTCTCCTCGTCTCGCTCTTCTCCTCGTCTCGCTCTTCTCCTCGTCTCGCTCTTCTCCTCGTGCCGCTCTTCTCCTCGTCTCGCTCTTCTCCTCGTGTCGCTCTTCTCCTCGTGTCGCTCTTCTCCTCGTGTCGCTCTTCTCCTCGTGTCGCTCTTCTCCTCGTGTCGCTCTTCTCCTCGTGTCGCTCTTCTCCTCGTGTCGCTCTTCTCCTCGTGTCGCTCTTCTCCTCGTGTCGCTCTTCTCCTCGTGTCGCTCTTCTCCTCGTGTCGCTCTTCTCCTCGTGTCGCTCTTCTCCTCGTGTCGCTCTTCTCCTCGTGTCGCTCTTCTCCTCGTGTCGCTCTTCTCCTCGTGTCGCTCTTCTCCTCGTGTCGCTCTCATCCTCGTGTCGCTCTCATCCTCGTGTCGCTCTTCTCCTCGTGTCGCTCTTCTCCTCTTGTCGCTCTTCTCCTCGTGTCGCTCTTCTCCTCGTGTCGCTCTTCTCCTCGTGTCGCTCTCCTCGTGTCGCTCTCCTCGTGTCGCTCTTCTCCTCGTGTCGCTCTGCTCCTCTTGTCGCTCTCCTCTTGTCGCTCTCCTCGTGTCGCTCTTCTCCTCGTGTCGCTCTTCTCCTCGTGTCGCTCTTCTCCTCGTGTCGCTCTTCTCCTCGTGTCGCTCTTCTCCTCGTGTCGCTCTTCTCCTCGTGTCGCTCTTCTCCTCGTGTCACTCTTCTCCTCGTGTCGCTCTTCTCCTCGTGTCGCTCTTCTCCTCGTGTCGCTCTTCTCCTCGTGTCGCTCTTCTCCTCGTGTCGCTCTTCTCCTCGTGTCGCTCTTCTCCTCGTGTCGCTCTCCTCGTGTCGCTCTTCTCCTCGTGTCGCTCTGCTCCTCTTGTCGCTCTCCTCGTGTTGCTCTCCTCGTGTCGCTCTTCTCCTCGTGTCGCTCTTCTCCTCGTGTCGCTCTGCTCCTCGTGTCGCTCTTCTCCTCGTGTCGCTCTTCTCCTCGTGTCGCTCTTCTCCTCGTCTCGCTCTTCTCCTCGTCTCGCTCTTCTCCTCGTCTCGCTCTTCTCCTCGTCTCGCTCTTCTCCTCGTGCCGCTCTTCTCCTCGTCTCGCTCTTCTCCTCGTGTCGCTCTTCTCCTCGTGTCGCTCTTCTCCTCGTGTCGCTCTTCTCCTCGTGTCGCTCTTCTCCTCGTGTCGCTCGTCTCCTCGTGTCGCTCTTCTCCTCGTGTCGCTCTTCTCCTCGTGTCGCTCTTCTCCTCGTGTCGCTCTTCTCCTCGTGTCGCTCTTCTCCTCGTGTCGCTCTTCTCCTCGTGTCGCTCTTCTCCTCGTGTCGCTCTTCTCCTTGTGTCGCTCTTCTCCTCGTGTCGCTCTTCTCCTCATGTTGCTCTTCTCCTCGTGTCGCTCTTCTCCTCGTGTCGCTCTTCTCCTCGTGTCGCTCTGCTCCTCTTGTCGCTCTCCTCTTGTCGCTCTCCTCGTGTCGCTCGTCTCCTCGTGTTCTTGTCCTGCCTTGTTGATCCCACCTGACCTTGTTGATCCCACCTGACATTGTTGATCCCACCTGACCTTGTTGATCCCACCTGACCTTGTTGATCCCACCTGACCTTGTTGATCCCACCTGACCTGGGTTTTGCATCTCCCTGTCTGGTGGAATTTTCTTTCCCTGTATCGTGGATTCACGGCAGCCGGGGCAAGGGGGAGCAGCAGCAGGCGCGGAGGGAGCGGCGGCGCTGGACTTCCTGCGAAACAATCCCCGGGTGAGTGGTTGCCAGTGCAGGGTGAGTGGTTACCAGTGCAGGGTGAGTGGTTACCAGTGCAGGGTGAGTGGTTACCAATCCCAGGGTTGAGTGGTTACCAATCCCAGGGTAGTGGTTACCAATCCCAGGGTTGAGTGGTTACCAATCCCAGGGGTGAGTGGTTACCAGTGCAGGGTAAGTGGTTACCAGTGGTTACTACTGCTTCGAGGCGTCTTCTGGAATAAGAGTCATGGGGCTTGCATGGTTACTACAGCATGGCAGGGTGTAGCGCACACGCAGTGCTTGGTTGGTCCAGGATCCCTCTCACTGCACTTGCTTCTCCAGTGCCTCTTGCTGCTGCACACCTTGATGCTCATGCTCATGCTCATGCTCATGCTCATGCTGCGTGTGCTGCATGGCAGTTCCAAGAGCTAAGAGCCATGGTGCAAGCGCGCCCACAGCTGCTGCAGGTACGCGCTCCGCCCCACTCTGCTCCGTACCCACCCACACCACCTCCCTTTCTCTCACATGAAATTGCTCTGTGTGCATCCACATCCCCAGTCCCTTCTATGTCAACTCGTTTCGCCGCTGCTTGATTTGTCATACCCCTATCCACCACCTATGCCACCATCTTACCATCCCACAATCCACACCATCCTCCACCCATACCACCACCCATGTTACCATCCACCATCCAATTCTTCATCCCCCCTCGCCCTCACTTCAACCTTTACACCCGTTCCTTGCCCCTCCTCCCCTCTCTCCCCACATCACCAGCCCATGCTACAGGAGCTGGGCAAGCAGAATCCCGAGCTTCTGCAGCTCATTCATGCTACCATCCCCCATCGCCTTCACCTCAACCCCCAAACTCGTCCTTTGTCTTGCCCTTCCCACCCTCTACCTCCTCCCCTCTCTCCCCGCATCACCAGCCCATGCTACAGGAGTTGGGCAAGCAGAATCCGGAGTTGCTGCAGCTCATTCAGGCGCATCAGACGGAGTTCCTGCAACTCATCAACGAGCCGCCGCCAGAAGGGTAAGTGCCACCTGTGTGGGACCCCTTTCCTTCCTTGTGCCAGTGCCAGTGCCAGGGCCAGTGCCAGGGCCAGTGCCAGTGCCAGTGCCAGTGTCGTGTTTTGAGGCGCCAGTGTTGGTCTATGTCACCCGCCCCCCCTCCCTCACTCTCTCACAATTTCTCCTCTCCCTTTTCCTCGCAAGGGCTCCCTTGTTTCTCGCTCACAAACACTCGCTCTCCCGCTCCCTGTGCTGCTCACAAACACTCGCTCTCCCGCTCCCTGTGCTGCTCACAAACACTCGCTCTCCCGCTCCCTGTGCTGCTCACAAACACTCGCTCTCCCGCTCCCTGTGCTTCTCACAAACACTCGCTCTCCCGCTCCCTCCCTGTGCTGCTCACAAACACTCGCTCTCCCACTCCCTGGGCTGCTCACAAACACTCGCTCTCCCGCTCCCTGTGCTGCTCACAAACACTCGCTCTCCCGCTCCCTGTGCTGCTCACAAACACTCGCTCTCCCGCTCCCTGTGCTTCTCACAAACACTCGCTCTCCCGCTCCCTGTGCTTCTCACAAACACTCGCTCTCCCGCTCCTTGTGCTGCTCACAAACACTCGCTCTCCCGCTTCCTGTGCTTCTCACAAACACTCGCTCTCCCGCTCCCTGTGCTTCTCACAAACACTCGCTCTCCCGCTCCCTGTGCTTCTCACAAACACTCGCTCTCCCGCTCCCTGTGCTTCTCACAAACACTCGCTCTCCCGCTTCCTGTGCTTCTCACAAACACTCGCTCTCCCGCTCCCTGTGCTTCTCACAAACACTCGCTCTCCCGCTCCCTGTGCTTCTCACAAACACTCGCTCTCCCGCTCCCTGTGCTGCTCACAAACACTCGCTCTCCCGCTCCCTGTGCTTCTCACAAACACTCGCTCTCCCGCTCCCTGTGCTTCTCACAAACACTCGCTCTCCCGCTCCCTGTGCGTCTCACTTACACTCGACCATCTCTCCCCCTGCATTGCCTTGCCTCCCACCCACGCCCTCCATCCGGTTCCCCATCTGCCCCTCAATTTGTCCATCCATCCTGCATTTCCTCCATCCGTCCCTCCCGTCTCCCACCCATCCATCTCTTCCCTCTCTTTTCTCACAGCGAGCTGATGAGTCAGCTGGAGGCGGCAGCAGCAGCGGCAGCAGGGGGGGAGGGGCTGCCTCCAGGCGTGAGAGCAATCCAAGTCACCCCGGAGGAGCAAGAGGCCATTGCACGGGTGAGAGGGGCAAGAGGCCACTGCACGGGTGAGAGGGGCAAGAGGCCACTGCACGGGTGAGAGGGGCAAGAGGCCACTGCACGGGTGAGAGGGGCAAGAGGCCACTGCACGGGTGAGAGGGGGTGTAGCACAGATGGGGTGTTACACTGGAAGGATGAATGGGCTGTCACATGGGGATGGCATTCAGCTGCTGGAACATGCTGCATGCATTTGCCAATGCTCGTGAATTGTGTCCCACGTGTGTGCTGTGCCTTGTGGCCTCATGCAGCTGGAAGCAATGGGGTTTGACCGCGATCTCGTGGAGGAGCCTTCAGTGCCTTGTGCTCCATGCTTGTGCCTCGCCCCACTCACCCCTCATGCCCCACTCACCCCTGATGCCCCATTCTCCCCGTGCAGCTGGAAGCAATGGGGTTTAACCGCGACCTGGTGGTGGAGGCGTTCTTCGCCGCTCAGCTGTTCTTCGCCACTCAGCTGCTCCTCTCTCCTCTCCAAACACTTTCGCGTTCACTCTGCCCCACTCAACCCTCACCCGTGTCCCCCCTGCAGCTGGAGGCAATGGGATTCGATTGCAATCTGTTGGTGGAGGCCTTCTTTGCGTGCGACAAGAGCGAGGAGCTTGCTGCCAACTACCTGCCGCACTCCCTTCTCTCCTCTCTGCTGCTCATGCCCTCTGCCCCATGCCCTCTGCCCCATGCCCGATGCCATGTGCCCTGTGCTCTGTGCATGTATGCATGCAGCTGGAGGCGATGGGGTTTGACCGCGATCTGGTGGTGGAGGCATTCTTTGCGTGTGACAAGAACGAGGAGCTCGCTGCCAACTACCTGCTGGAGCACGGCGCTGACTTAGACGACTGACTCGTCCATCCCCGCACTTGACGTTTGAACCCCCGCGGGTGCCTGCTGCAGCGCAGAGGAACGCAGGGCAGAACAGAGTGGTGCGTCACAGTGCAGTGCGGTGCTGCAGCGAATAATGATGCTTAGGTGTCGTGGATTGTTTGCCTCAACTGTGTTTTTGCACGCATGGACTGCGGCTTCTAGCATTTGGTGGAGCTTGCCTTGGGTTTTGTTTGCCTCCCTCGGTATCTCAAGCTCAGTTTGCCCTGGCTGTGTTGCCTGGTTGGGACTAGAGGCCGGTGATTACTAATGCTTCTACACGCGAAGTGCACTGTGGCTCGGCTTTATATGGCAAACCTGTAGAACATATTGGTAGTAACTAGGAGTGTGTTAAAACTACATGGTTATTCACTGAGCCACCCCTGGTGCTATGGCCTAGGAGGGCATGTGAGCCCATTGCATGAATGTAGAAAACCAAGGGCAAGTTCGAGTTTGTGCATTCATGATTCAAGTATCTCTGTTCAAAACAGTGATTCGACTACAGATATCGTGGTAGAAAGCGAGGAAGCCAGCAAACCGCTCCCTAATGCATACCACCATATGGAACTGCAACAGGTGCAACAGAGATGTGCAAACTCTGACCCACCCTGATACCGGTAGAGCGTTATTGGGGGCATGAGTTCCCTTGATATAACACGAACCAAAAGCTGACACAAGTTCCGTCCGCACGTCATGAGTCACGACCTGCAGCTACTGACGCTAGCACAATCCACTCCTGCATTCTGAACGTTACACAACCACTTGCACATTGCCATGTGCGATCTACGCCGGACGAGCTATGGTTGACATGGCAGCCTACATTTGGCTCCCCCTCCCTTTCCTCCCCACCTTCACCCACCACCCCTCCGTCCCCTTTCCCCACACCGCTCCCACTCCCCGCTTCACTGCCGTCCCCACTGCTGCCACCCCCACTACTACTCCCCTTCCACTGCCCCCCATACCCAGTGTCTGCTGCAGCTGGTAGGCATACTGCAGGCTGCGGCAGTAGAGCAGCAGCGGGTTGACCATAGATACCATAGCAGCAATACGTTTCCTGAGGGTTAAAAAGCGGGCCCTGCATGCCCTCTTCTCTGCTAGGAATGCCCCGCTCTCTGCACACTCACCTCCCTCCCTCAACTCCCCACCACCGCCCCCTCCCCCTCCTCCCCACCTTCCCCAACCACGCCTCCCTCCACGCCGCTCCCACTGCCCCCCTCACTGCCATCCCCACTGCTACTCCCCTCCCCACCACCTCCCCCAGACATAGCCTGCTGCAGCTGGTAGGCATACTGCAGGCTACGGCAGTAGTGCAGTGGCGGGTTGAAGCGCGGGTCCTGCATGTCCTCTGCCAGGAACGCCCCGCTTTCCAGGAGGAAACGGATGGCTCGCCGCCGATTGTGCCGGGCTGCGTGGTGCAGGGGGGTCCCTGGGGAGAGGGAGGAGGACGAGTGGGGAGGAAAAATGTGGGGAGAAAGAAGAGGATGGTGAGGGGACGGAAGGATGCGGGGGGAGGGAGAAGGGGAATGGGGGGTATGAGTGAGAGAGATGCCATGCACTGCAGTGGCGGGTTGAAGCGCGGGTCCTGCATGTCCTCTGCTAGAAACGCCCCGCTCTCCAGCAGAAATCGTATGGCTCGCCGGCGGTTGTGCCGCGCTGCGTGGTGCAGCGGGGTCCCTGAGTGGGGAGGAGAGGTTGAGGGATGGTGAGGAGAGAGAGGGATGCCAGGGGAAGCAGAAGAGGAATGGCGGGCGGGCGGGCGGGCTTCGATGTTGGCTCCCACTCCAGAATAGCGTCCATGACCGCTATGTTGGCGCTTTTTGAGTCGTTTCCTGAGGCGCTTTAGAAACACAGACATCACCAGCAGCAGCAAAGGCACTTAAAGCCGAAGGCACCGCGCGTGCGGGCTTCGATAATAGCTCCGCCCTCCAGCAGCGCGTCCATGACCGCTATGTGCCCCGCTGCCGCCGCCTTTTGAGGCGCTTAAAAAAAAGAGACACCAGAAGGAGGATGGTCACTCACAGCCAAAGGCACCACGCGTGCGCGCTTCAATATTGGCTCCGCCCTCCAGCAGGGCGTCCATGACCGCTATGCGCCCCGCTGCCGCCGCCTTTTGAGGTGCTTAAAAAAAAGAGACACCAGAAGGAGGATGGTCACTCACAGCCAAAGGCACCACGCGTGCGCGCTTCAATATTGGCTCCGCCCTCCAGCAGCGCATCCATGACCGCTATGTGCCCCGCTGCTGCCGCCAGGTGCAGCGCCGTCGCGCCCGCGTGCTTTGGGCCCAGCGACGGCTCGTCCACTGCCACATCCCCCTCCTCCAGTAGCTGCCGCACCTGGTACGCATGGGATTTGGGGGGGGGGGGGGGGGGGGGGGGGGGGGGGACACCGGAGCGAAGAGAGAAGGGATGAGAGACAGTCATGGCTTGTCCACTGCAACATCCCCCTCCTCCAGTAGCTGCCGCACCTCAAGGGCGGTGGGAGGGAGGGCGGGTGGGTAGTAGGGAGGGTAGGAAAGACACGGAAGAGAAGGGGGAAGGGATAGTGAGAGACAGTCATGGCTCGACCACTGGCACGTCTCCCTCCTCCAGTAGCTGCTGCACCTGGGTGAGTGGAGAGGAGAGGAGGACACAGGAAAGAAGGGGGAAGGGCGGCAATTGCGGGAGGGAAAAGAAGAGAAGGCACGGGAGTGAAGCCGTGATAAGCATCGCCTTGCCACGCCAACCACTGTGTGCCCATTGCCGTGGTACTACCGTGCAACCACGTGGTTACCATGTTACTGTGCTCCCAGTTCCGAGACACCACGTTACCAGGTTACCACGCACCATGCGCACGTTGCCCATGTGGCTGGCGATGTGCAGCATCGTCCATCCGCGGTCGTCACGCACGCTCAGCGCCACAGGCGGGCCCGGCCGCGTGCCTGCCCTTGTGCCGCCTGCTCTTGAGGCACGGGAGGCGGAGCGACGAGGAGGGCGGATGGACGACACGGGGCGACGGGCCTCATTCTCGCTCTCCGCTGCTGCCGCGTCACTATCCCCTGCCGCTGCCGCTGCCGCTGCTGCTTCCACTGCAGCTACTGCTCCTGCCGCTGCCCCGTCATCTCCATCACCGTTCTCACGATCCTCGCCGCTGTCAGCGGCGTCACGCTCGGTCAAGAGCTCGTCGCCAGCGCGGCGTCCCTTTCTGCTGCGTCGGGAGGCGCTTTTCCTCCCCACCTTCTCCGCCGCCGTCCCCTCGGGCCTCGCCTTCGCCTCCCGCTTCGTTATCCCCTCGCCATCGGCAGCCACGTCAGCGTGGAGTAAGCGAGCCTGGTTGTGCCATTGCAAGTCCTGGACAAGGGACGGGGACGAGAATCGGTCGTGAGCATCCGAATCTAATTGCGTGAGCCTTAGAATAAAATCACTCACATCCTGAATCTCCTGCACTGATGCCCTAACCTTGCTCGGCTCTCCGCACGCGAAACGCACCTGACGTGTTCCCCGCAGCCCAGACGTACCATTCCCACCATGTCGCTCGGCTCCTCGAGATTTCTAAATTCCCGAAACTTCGCGAACGGCTTGAAGTGTCGCACGTCGTCGCAGCCTCGCCGCCTTCGACTGTACTCCGAAAACTGCTCGCTAGCGTGGTCATGGCCTCTCGCCAAAATCCATTGTCACGACGCGTCACCCTCCTAAGTTCGCTTGGGAAGGATTCTGCTACATAACAACCTGATTCGAACGGTGAATATATCACCTTATCAATTACCGTGCTCTATGATTTAGAGTACTAAAAAAACTCCAAGCGGCAATGGGAGTCGCTAGTGAAGCCGCACCGCTGAGCATGGAGTAGCGGCCAAGTGATCGCTCTCCTCATGTGTGCAGAACAGTTGCTTCCAGGAGTGACGGCGGCAGCTCAGCAGGCTCAGAAAGCACTTCTGACAAGGGTGAAGTAGGCGGCAACAGCAATACGTTTATCCCCCATATAAATGTAAAGACCGAAATGCACGTCGCTCCCCCGTTCCTGCTCGTGTGTGTGTTCCTTCATCCTATGCACACTACATGTAGGTACCTAAAAAGCAAGCCCAAACCACATTCGTACTGTGTGTGGTCATCAGCATTTGATCATCAGTTATTTTTCCTAACTAATTTAAAATATAATTTCTTCTCAAAAACCCCACCAACTACCTGCAAGATTGTATACGCATGATCTTGTAGGTACTTACTTTTTGCACATCCAATTGAGACGAATGACTGATGGTACAGCGCACGTAATATCGTAATATCGAAACTGGGTGACAACGTAGGCCAGCCCTAGATTTGGAGCGTTCATGATGCAATCAATGGACACGTGAATCTTCACCGTAGGGCGGGGTGTGTGCGGTGGCACAGTGAGGCCTGCGCTGGCAGCCCTGCTGCGCTGTCGGCCAAATTTGCCTGTGGGCCCACTCGGGCAGATGCTTTCAGGCAGGACGGCTTCTCATTGGCGGCTGCCGATGAGGGAAGTGAAGGAGCAGTCAGGCGGGGAAAGAGGCAGGTGCGGGCGGGTGAAGCAACCAACTACATATGCAGGGAGGAGGAGGCTCCAATCCAACGCAGAAGCGAGTGGGATGAGATGAGAACAACGGAATCGCTGTGGGGCACTCTCAACCCGACTCAACTCAACCCAAATCATCTCAACCCAGCTTAAAACTAATCTAACCTAACGTAACCGAAGTTAAACCAGCTCTAATCCATCCACCTAGCAAGAAGCTTGCCTTCTTTTGCGACTTCGTGAACAAGCTGTGATCGATCAGCAGGAAGTGGTGATGAACAGAATCGAGGCGTGCTCATACACCCGCAAGAACGCCATTAATTTCCTCCCACTGCACAATTGTCCCTGGTTGGTTGTATGCGGAGCACGATTGCCAGGCGAGCAAAGAGCATGGTACAGAATGGAAAGACTTGGTTTATGGCTGTTAGCTTCCCAGATGCGATACTAGAAGTCGTTTTTATTGTTAGACTCCCGAGCAAGCAAGAGATAAGCCCCTACCACCCCCCCACTCTCAGACCAGCCTGGCAGTGCATTGTCGAATCATTTTTTTCGCGCGTCGTTCCAGCTGTCACGCGTCGAGTGGATTGCGCTCTTATCACCTCAACGCGGTACAATCGGGCCGGTGTAACCTCCGGCATGATCGTGCAACCGGGTGTGTCTGGTGCAGTCACATCAGTGCGATGGCGCAACGCGAAGAGGCCCAGCACAAAACCATCAAAACAAGTGATATGAACCCGCGCGAATCGATCGAACAACACATCAAACTTGCTTCCATCTTGCATTCTTCGATCGCGACAGTCGTCACCCTTTTTGCGTGTGCTCGCCGCATGCTTGTAGCGTAGTTGAATGATGACCGGCGCTTACCACTCGAGCCAAGTACTAAGTACATCCTAGTCCGCCGCGTCGCGCACCCGTCGTACTATTTATCAAAATATGGCGTTTATCCCGCGGGTGTTACCCTCCGCTTGGAGCGGCCCTCTGTGTCCCGTGTGGTCTCTAATGGGCGTTCCCCTCGCGCTGCTCGTCGCGTCGCTCAACCCGCACCTCTGGTCGCTCGCCCTCTCTGCGGCCGCGTCGCGCCACGACGGAGCGGCGCTGCTGCCGCTCTTACTGTTCGCTCACGCCGTCGCGCTGCTTCTCAATTACTCCGCTGCGCGCATCGTCGACGTCACCGGCGCCACCGTTCCTCAGGTCCGCACTCTCGGCACGCTCGCGATCTCGCTCTCTGCTGTTACCCGATGATTTCGCACTCCGCTGCTCTCGAATTCCCGCATAATGCCCGCATTCAGCCGATCACGAATCCGCCCCGTGTTTTCCGTCTCATCGCAGGTGTGGCTTCACGAGTTTCCGCGCGCCCTCCGCCGCCTGCTGCCGCTCCTCTGCGCCGCCTCCATCGTCGCGCTTGACGTCGCCGCGCTCTGGGCCTCCGCCACCGCGCTGCAGCTGCTGGCGGGGCTCGCGCTCAAGCCCGCGCTGCTTCTCTCCGCCCTCTCCGGCCTCGCCGCCATCGCCGCCCCTCCCGGCAAGGTGCGCCCTTCCGCTGACTGCCATCCGATACGAAATCTTCCCCCTTCCACGTTCCAGCCCCCTTTTTTCACTGCCCTTGCCATCGCGCGGCCAGCCGGGCCGCTTTATCTGCGGCGACCCACGGTCTGTGTGGCGCCGAGTTGTCCGCGCAAGCCCGGATGCGCGCGCATGCGCCATCGGCTGGCGAGCGACGTGCGTCCATGGCCCATGCCCCCCATTCCACGCCCCATCGCACCGCTTCCTCTTTGTGCGCTAACTATCCCACCCACCCGTATCTCTACGATCCCGTCTCTCCCCGCCGCTCCCCGCCGCTCCCCGCCTCTCCCCGCCTCTCCGCGCTCCAACACGCGCAGGCCCAGCAGCTGGTGTCGCTGTGCGTCAGCCTGCTGTTGCTGCTCCTCCTCTCCTGCGCCCTGCACTGCCTCTCCGCCCTTAGCTCCCTCGCCCCCGCCGCGTTCATCCCGCCTCGCCCCCACCTTCCTCTCGCCGCGCCCGCCGCGCTTCTCCCATCCGCGGAGAGCGCGTGGATGGGCGCGGCGCTGCTGGGCGCGTGTCTGCTGCCGCACACCTTCCTGCTCCTCGCCTGGCAGGTACGCCCCTCGTCTCCTCATTCCCGAGTCCACTGCTCTGCTCCTAGCCGCTCTGTAGCTTCCCCTGCGGCGTCATGATGTCTCTTCGTCGCTTCTCTGTGTCGCATCGCCAATCGCCTTTTTCTTCGGGACTGCTCACTTGCTTCTGCTGCCTGCTGCCACCGCTCTCCAGTATCTTGTCTCTCACTTGTCTCGTGCGCCTCACGCCTGTTCCTAATTTCAGCTGCCCCTGCCTGCCCGCGCGCAGGAAAAGGCCGACGCGGAGGAGCGCAAGCCAGAGAAGCAGGGGGCGGGCGCAAGGTGCACGAGGGGGCGGCGGTGGCGGCGGTGGGGGGAGCTGCTGCTGCCGCAGTCGCTGGCTCTGGCGGCGGCGGTGCTGCTGGTGCTGGGCGCTGCTGCTGGGGCGATGAGGAGTGGGGCGGACGAGGAGGACGAGACAGTCGCACCGTCCGTGATGTCACTGCAGGACGGCCACTGCCTCCTCGCGCAGGTGTGTGTGCTCCCTCTCTCTCCCGCTCTCATGCTTCTTCCTGGTTCTCATCTCAAGAGGGGTCACTGCACCGTCCGTGCTGTCGCTGCAGGACGGCCACTGCCTCCTCGCGCAGGTGTGTGTGTGTGTGTGTGTGTGTGTGTGTGTGTGTGTGTGTGTGTGTGTGTGTGTGTGTGTGCGTGCGTGCGTGCGTGCGTGTGTGCGTGTGCGTGCACGCACGCTTTATCCCTCGCATTACCCCCCCCCCCCCCCGTCCCCCCCTTCCGTTTCTCTCTCTCGCGCCTTCTAGCTTGCTCCTGACCCTCAAGCGGGGTCCCTGTGAGCGTGTGAAGGTGGAACATGTCAGGATGAGTAAGCAGTAACGGATCAAGGGATGAGTAAGCAGCAGTTAGCGGAACCCAAAGGACCAACCACACGTATTATAGCTTTGTGAATGCATTTCCTGCACTCCCCCTCTATCAGCACCTCACACACAACCCCCTCTTCGCTTCCACCCGTCCGCCCTCCCTCCTGTCATCCCATACCTGTCCCTTTACCAGCTGCTAACAGCCAAGGCAGCCCCAGGGCTATTCGCGCTCGTGCTGCTGGCAGCGGCGCACCTCCTCGCGCCCTCCACCACCCTCGCCGCGCAGCTCGCGCTCTCCGCCTTCGCCTTCCCCCCTCCCCCCTCCTCCTCCGCTCCCCCTTCCTCCCCCTCCCTGCGCCACCCCTCCCCCTACCTCGCCTTTGCAGCCACCCGCCTCGCCTCCCTCCTCCTCACACTCCTCCCCGCGCTCCTCTTAGGTGACTCCTCCGCCCTCCGCTTGATTCAATCCGCGCCTCTCGCCCTCGCGCCCCTGCTCCCCCTGGCCGCCGCGCCTCTCATCCGCCTGGCGGCTTCCCCCCACGTCATGGGCCCCTGCCGCCTCCCCCCAGCCCTGCGCCTGCTCGCCTACCTCGCCTGCTGCGCCCTCTCCGCGCTCTCCCTCGCGCCCCTGGCCTCTGCGCTGCCCGCGCTGCTGCAGGGCTATGCGGGGGAGATGGAGGGCATGGGGCTGTGGGAGTGGCTGGCGGGGGGGGCGTGGGTGGGGGAGGCGGGGGAGGAGGGCGGAGGGGGGCTGGCAGTGGCGCTGGCGCCAGGGGCGGTGTGGCATGGGCTGGCGCAGGTGGGGGCGGCGGTGGGGGGGAGTGTGGGGGTGGCAGCGGCGGTGGGAGCGCTGGTGTGGGTGATGAGGGTGCCACTACGTTCGGAGGGAGCGGGGGAGGGGGAAGAGGAGGGGGAGGCGGAGGGGGATAATGTTATGGATGAAGGCATGGGGGAAGAGACTCTTGTGGGCGAGGGGATGGATAGGGGCGCGCGGGAGGGGATGGCGGACTGGATGTATGGCGGAGAGGCGGTGGTGGGGGAGGAGAGGGATGGGGATGATGTGCTGTGGCAGCAGCAGTGGTTGGAGGAAGAGGGGGAAGGGGGGTTGCGTTGGGGGGATCAAGTGGTGTGCGAGGAGGGGGAGGAGCGGTGGGAGGGAACGCAGCAGTGGGCGGCAGAGTCCCTTGCAGGGGCAGACGAGCAAGAGCGAGCAGGAGAGGGGAAGATGGGGAGCATGGGACTTGAGAGTGGGGACATGGGACTTGAGAGTGAGGACATGGGACTTGAGAGTGGGGACATGGGACTTGAGAGTGGGGACATGGGACTTGAGAGTGGGGACATGGTAGGCCATGCGCGTGTGGGTGTGCGCCAAGAAGCTCTGCAGGCAGTGAGTGCGGAGCAGAGTGGGGGAGAGCAGGAGGGGGCGGGGCAGAGGGCAGAGGGAGAGGTAACAAAAGGTGGTGAAGAGCAGTATGGCGCTGAAGGTGGTGAAGAGCAGTATGGCGCTGAAGGTGGTGAAGAGCAGTATGGCGCTGAATCCCAGGCTGCGGCTGCCTTACCTTCTGCTGCTCCTGCTGCTGCTGCTGCTGCTGCTGTTAAACCTTTTATTGCTGCTGCAGTTGCCGCTGATACAAGTATGGTTGAGGCTGCAGCCACAGTAGTGGGAGGGGTCCTGGATAGGAAAGAATCAGCAGCAGCGGCAGTAGGTGCTTTGACGGACTGTGCAGCCCCCGTTTCTTCCCCTGCTGTAGAGGCCAAGGCGGCTGCATCACTGCCTGACTGGGAGGAGGAGAAGGAAGAGGAGCAGGGGGAGGAGAAGGAGCAGGGGGAGGAGGAGGAGCAGGGAGAGGAGAAGGAAGGAAAGGGCAAGGCTCACGCAGCAGCGGGTGGGGGCGCTGCAGATGCCCCTCACGCCAGCACAGGGGGCGCTGAGCAGGGGGGAGCTGGAGAGTGCGCAGAGCAGGAGGGGCTGGGGGGCGCGGCAGAGGGCAGGGAGGGGGGACTTGGCGTGGGAAGGGGGTTGGTGGGTGCGGGGCAGGCTGGGGAGGAGGAGGTAGAAGAGGAGGAGAAACAGATGGTGGCGGTGCGGCAACGGGGGGAAGAGGTGGTGGGGGAGGAGGGGGGCAAGGGGGCGGGCGCAGGGGAGCAGAAAGGGGGGATGGCAGAAGTGGGTCCCTTGCCGGACGATCCATTTGATTCCGAAACCAGCCCTGCAAAGCCCTCATGCAAGCACCCACCAGAGGCAACCCCCAACTCCTCCTCTCAGCCCGGAGGCTCTGAGAGTGGCTCTCTGTCTGCCTCCAAGGGTGGCAAGGGTTTCTGGGGGAAATGTGCGGATCTTTCAGCGCCCTCCTTCCTGCCAGCCCTCGCCCCCTCTTCCACCACTGCTGCTGGCCATGCTAGCAGCAGCGGGATCAGCAGCACCAGCAGCGGCAGCGTGTGCTGCAACAGCAACAGCAACAGCAACAGCAGCAGCAGCAGCAATGAGTGGCATGAGTGGTGGTGGCAGGAGTGGCAGCGGCAGTCTGTCACGCGTGTGTGGGCTGGGGCGAGGGGCGCGCAGGCAGGTGGCCGCCATTCTGGACGAGTTCTGGGCGGCGATCTTCGACCTGCATGGCCATGCGGTGGTGGTGGATGGGCGCGGGCAGGGCGTGGGGGAGGGGAGGGCGCAGGGTGTGTTGGGGGCAGCAGGACAGCACGGCACGGGGAGGGCAGCAGGAGGAGCATCGCAGGGCGGCATGGGCTTGCCTGTGGACTGTTATGTGTCGAAGCAGGCATCACTCCCTGCTTTCCTCGGCTCACATCTGTTGTCAGCTAATGCCAAGCCCTTCTCCCCGTCTTTCTCCCCCGCCTTCTCATCGTCCTCCTCCGTGCCGAGCAGTGGCTTCAGCAGCATCAGCAGCACCAGCCCCAACAGCACCAGCAGCACCATGAAGAGCAGCAGCATGGGCGGGGGCATGGCATCGCTGCTGTTATCCTCACTGCCATCGCCGTCAGCAGTTGCAGCACGCGAGTACAGCACGCTCTCCCACCTGCCCACCCTGCACGAGCTCTCTCTGCTGCACTCCTCCTACCTCCTCCCCTCCCGCCGTTGCATCTCGCCTGACCCGCCCTCCTCCCTCCCGCCTCCCACCTATGTGGGTGCGGGCATGGGTGCAGGAATGAGCGTGGGTGCAGGAATGAGCGTGGGTGCAGGAATGCGTGCAGGCATGGGTGCGGGCATGGGCATGGATGGAGGCATGGGCATGGATGGAGGCATGGGCATGGATGGAGGCATGGGCATGGATGGAGGCATGGGCATGGATGGAGGCATGGGCATGGGCCAGGGGGCACAGAGCACAGCAGTGGCGGAGGGAATGGGTGGAGGAGCGGGAGGGGCCACAGGGGGTGCGCTGCTGGGCGGGGTGGGTGGTGCAGGGCAGGTGTGGCAGGTGGAGGGTCCCAGTCGCTCCACGCCCAACCTGCGGAGTGATCTGCTGGTAGGACTCAGCCTCAGGGCGCACACCCCCTCCCTGCTCCAGGATGGTGGCCTGGTGGGGCAGTGCCAAGGCTTTCTCGCCCCAGAACGCATGAGTTCCTTCCACCAGCAGCAGCAGCAGCAGCAGCAGCAGCAGCAGCAGCAGCAGCAGCAGCAGCAGCAGCAGCAGCAGCAGCAGCAGCAGCAGCAGCAGCAGCAGCAGCAGCAGCAGTTGCAGCAGCCGCAGGTGTATCAGCAGGAGCGCGGAGTGGGTGCGCTTGGGTTTGCAGTAGTGGAAGACGGTAGTACTGATGAGAGTGACGTGGTAGATGCTGTTGCCAGCCTGGCACAGCTGAGCCAGCTGCAGCATGAGTATGCAGAATTCAGCAGTTCGGGCCGAGCGGGGGCTTCTATGGGTGTTGCTGGTGGTGCAGGGGGGATCATGGGCAGTGCATGGGAGCAGCAGGTGGACGAGCTGGTGGGGACGCGGTCACACCGCACTGCACCACTCCATGTGGGGCTCGGCGACGCTGCCTCTCCTGCTGGCTCTGCTGCTGCGCTCACGAATGGGAGAGAAGGGTCGCTTCAGCGAACAGGCAGCGGGGGCATGTGGGGCTATGGCTCCCAGGCTGTGCGGGGCGCAGCAGCAGCAAGCAGGGGGGGCAGTGGAAAGTGGAGCACGATGCATGTCACAGGCATCCAGAGCAGCATGCATGGGCCTGCCCTGCCCCCGCATGACTTGCCAGACCTGGCAGATCAGTGGCTGGCCGCTGCTGCTGTCAGCAAGGGAGGAAAGACCAGCAACCCAGGCTGGCAGCAGGCACAGCAGGCACAGCAGCAGGAGAAGCAGCAGGGCAGGCAGCACAAGCGATCCGTTCCTCTGACGGGAGCAGCAGCAGCAGTGGCGGCAGAGGAGGCACGGGTGGAGGCGGTGCGGGTGTGTGTGCAGCGTCTGCTGCGGGTGGACGGCAGCGACTGGCTCTTCCGTTTTGACACCGGCCCCGACGAGGACCTCATTGCCGCCCTCGCCTTCCGCGACCGCAAACTCGCCGCCTCCTCCGCACTCTCTGCTCGCATCTCCCCGCCCTCTCTCACCCATGCGGCCGCTCACCATGTGCATTCTCACAGCGGGTGTGGCAGGGATGGGGAGTGGGTGCTGCCTGCAGGAGTGTGGGGGTGTGGCACTGGGTGTGTGTGGGGCCCGGCGCTGGTGGTGTCGTTTGGGGTGTGGTGTGTGCACCGGGTGTTGGAGCTGTCTCAGCTGGAGAGCCGCCCGGAGCTGTGGGGCAAATACACCTACGTGCTTAACAGGCTGCAGGTCAGCAGCCTCCCCTCCTCCTTCTCCAATGCGCATCACTGTTTATTCTTCCAGTATGCTGTGTCTGGCAGCGTAGCCTGTCCTTATCATGCCATTCTCATCCTCTATCATTTCTTTTTGATTTATGTATTTCCTTGTTACAGGGAGTTTTGGACCCTGCATTTTCGCACCCGCGCCCGGTGCCGGTGCTGTGCGCCTGTTTTGGAGAGGCAGCGGGGCAGCCAGCGCTGGCAGCGCAGCGCCTCTTCCAGGGGTTGCTGGCCGGCTCCCTCTGGGGCACACAGATCCCCCTCGCCAGCCCCAACTGGCCCTTTCCCGGCCCGCCAGGCCACCGGGGCCCAGCGTGTGCTGCTCTCTTTCTCGACCGCATTCGCGAGGTGGAGGCGGCAGTGGGAGGGCGCAAAGGCAGGACTGGCACGGTGGCGGGGGATGTGGCGTTCCCCAAGGGGAAGGAGAACCTCTCGTCGGTGCTAAAGCGGTACAAGCGGCGCCTGGTTTTTTTTGCCAATGCTTAAGCTTAGTTTTGCTTCTTTTTTTCCCCTCCCATGGTTGGTGGGTAGGCGTTCTTCAGCCCACTTTTTTGCTCAACTAGCTGGGCTTATTCGTCACACCATGCGCAAACAGCTTTTGGCTTGTTTTTTCTCCTGTTTGTATTTGCCTTTTTACGGGATGGAGAGAAATATAGAAACTTTACTCAATATGCTACTAGTCGTCTACTCACATTTCCACACTGCACTTGCATTCGGAGGCTATATCGTGACGCCAACCGACACGGCAGCACGAGTCTTGTGTGGCGGACAAGCGCACTGCCCTCCGCGACAATCCATGAGTCAAAGTTGCGTCATCACCTCTGGTTACTCGTGTTGGCTCGCCTCATCCCCTTGGCTGCGACCGACGTGCGACGAAACCGTTTTCGCCAACCAAAGGCAACCTCTCCGTCGCGACGCGCACCACTTTTCTCGACAATTCACAAATTCCCGCTCGCCAAGGATGATCGCACATGGATTGAGGTTGGATATTTCGGCCAATGATGGTCGACTTGCGGGTGGATCCAGTCGCATGCCAGCGCACTGGCGACGCCTGAGTCGCACCCACCCGCAACGGGCCAACATCATATACATGCAAATTAGTCTGGTAACCCTATTCGATGGTATGCAAAACCGTCGATACCCCAGTTCTGCTTCGCAAATTTGTCTGGTAGCGCCACATAAAACACTGTGTAACAGCTGATGCAGCACAAAAAGGATGCAATGGGTGAAAAATCGATTGCATTTTCAATTTCGTTTCATAGTTTTTTCACCGCGCTTTGTTTGACGCCTAACAAAGATTCCTGCGGGCAACAATTTTCCGTTAAATGTGCACGATAATTTTAACAGGAAAATCCGTCGAATGAAAGTTAACGGTGTCATTTTTGTAACAATATATTGCGCCCCATATATTGCTACCCGGTATTGTTAGGGCAGGCAAGAAAAAAATAAAACCCCTAGGGACCTGGACTCATTTCAGGGAGGGATCAACCCTAAACACGGGAAAGGCATTGTATTTAGGGTTGATGCCTTCCCAAGTGCATCCCTTTCCGACCGGGTTTTATTTTTTCTGTCAGGTATAGTGAACAGTGTTGCTCATCTGGCGAACAGTTGCCCGAATAAATCGAAGTTTAGCGGAAATACAAGCGCGGTAGAAGTCAGTGCGTTGATTCAAAAGAATCGTGATACTACAGCAGTATGTCAATACCTCCAAAACCGAGGTATCGACGGTTTTGCATACCATCGAATAGGGTTACCAGACTAATTTGCATGTATATGATGTTGGCCCCACCCGCAACCTCCAAGGCCACATGGAAGTTGTCTCCAGCCATTCCCATTTTGAAACTTGATGAAATCCATGGCGGACGCACCCAGCTTCTGATCAGCAATTCCTTCCAGCCATTGCATGGCCAGCCGCCAGGAAAGCCGCCAGCGGTAACGATCCGCACGCTTTCTTCTGTTCCCTCACCTCATTTATCTCTCACGGCGCGGTAGCCATGGCAAATCGACCATGTTTATTGACAAGCAACACCATACTTCCTGCCAGAACATGCATCCATCCCTTCATTCGCGAAGTCGCCTTCACCTCAAGCTAGGCTCGCCGCGCCGCAATGGACGGCGTGGATCTGTCGAAATGCCTGTGCGAGGCGGGCGCGGTGGAGTGGATCCGCGACTGGTTTCAGGACTGCGTGTACACGCGATGGGACCTGCTCTCCTTCCTGCTGGGCCTCGCCTCCATCGGCTGCTGGCTCGTGGCGCAGCTGCCGCAGTTCATTCAGAACATCCGAGTCGGCTCCGCCGACGCGCTCTCGCCCTGGTTCCTCTTCCAATGGCTCTCCGTACGCGCCGACCCCGTCCCACACACACCTGCGCTTCATGCCCTATCTTTCCGCGCAAAGGGCTTCGCACGGAAGCACATGCTCGCTTCAAGTGTAGATATACAGAGAGCAATGTTTCGGACATGTATCCGAGATAGTGCAATGCTCCCATGATATGCTCCCATGATTCTCTGTTCACTCCCGTTTGCGCATGCGTGTGCGCGTGCGTGTACGTGTGCTTGCGCGTGTGCGTGTGCGTGTGCGTGTGCGTGTGCGTGTGCGTGTGCGTGTGCGTGTGCGCCTGTACGCGCAGGGCGATCTGCTGAACCTGCTGGGCTGTCTGCTGTCGGGCAGCCAGCTCATCACGCAGACGTTCACCGCCATCTACTTCATCTTCGCCGACTGCTGCATCATCGCGCAGGTACCATTCGCGCGCGCGCGCACGTCGCAGTGCCAGGTGCCACCCGCGCGCACGTCGCATTGCCATGTAGTACCGCCGCCCGCGCGTATGTCCCACTGCAAGGCAAGGCTCAGAGGCCCGTGTCCTTCCGGTCTGCGCATCTGCCGCCACGGATCCCTGCCTCACGCTACGCATTCCCGCCTTCCTTCACACCTTTCTCCCCTCCCCCCCTTTTTCCCACATCCTCTTCCGCTTCCCCTCTCCCCGTCCTCATCCACTTCCCCCCTCTCCCACCTTTCCCCACCACCCCCCCCCCCCACCCCCGCGCATTCCCGCAGTACGTGTACTATCAACTGAAGAACCGCGACTCGCTCGAGCTGGACGCGGACTGCATGTCGCGCGCGCCGTCGCAGCAGGACGGCTTCATCGCCGCCGCCGCCTTCTCCTCGCCCTCCGCCGCCCTCCGCCGCCCGCTCCTGTCCGCCAGGCCCGTCGCGCCCGCAGATCACGCGGACGCCGCCAGCAGCAACGGGGCGGTCAGCAGAGCGCTGTCTGTAGTGTCGCCGCCCAGGACGAAGCCACGGCGTGCTGTGGAGGAAATCCGCGCTTTAGAGAACGAGCTGCCTTACAGAGAGGTTGAGGGTGGCGGGGTAGCGGCAGCGACAGCAGAGCATGAGAGTCACATGCACAGACCGAAGCAGCAGCAGCAGCAGCAGCAGCAGCACCGGCACGAGCACCACAACTACCACCCTGTGTCGTTCTTAGCTGGCCGCTCAGGCGCTGTGCTCCTCGCCCACGCCTGGCAGGGCCCCCACCTCCCCTCCGACCCCCGGCCCCTTTCTCTCCCACCTCCCCAAGGCACAGGCGCAGCCGGAGCTGAAACAGGCGAGGCAGGAGGGGCAGACGTGACAGAAAAAGCAGACGTGGCAGGGAAAACAGACGTGGCAGGAATAGCAGACGTGGCAGGAAAAGCAGACTTGGCAGGAAAAGTAGTAGGTCGGCGGCTCAATGCTTCTGGGCGGAGAGAACAGGGCGCAGGAGCGCGGGGGGAGGAGCGGGGCAGGTTGTTGCGGATAGCTGAGGAGGGGGAAGGGCGGGCGGACCTGTTCCCCGTGGCGTCAGACAATACAGGCGGAAGGGCGGACGGGGCAGGGGTGGTGGGAGATCGCAGCAGGAGACGTGCGACTGGTGATGAGGCCGGGGGAGCAGAGGGGCGCAGGGGTGGGGGCCAGGCGGGGCGAGTGCAGTTCGAGGAGCAAGGGGGGATGGGCGGAGAGGGCGCGGGGGGCGAGGGGCGGAGGCGCAGGGCGTACAGCGGGCGGGAGGTGCGGCGGGTGGTGGAGCAGTATGGGCTGGAGCACGGCCCTCCGCTGCTGCACGCCCGCCTCACCATCCACCACCACCCCCCCGCCCCCGCGCCCAGCCCTGCGGCCCTGATGGCGGCAGAGCAGGGGCAGGCTGGAGGGATGGGCGCAGGGCGGGAGGGGCATGGAGCAGCAGGAGTGGGTGGGGCGGGAGGCGGGCACGGGCGTGAGGGTGGGGCCAAGCGTGGAGAGGGGGGTTACCTGAAGCAGGAGGGGACAGCTGCTAAGGGAGGAGGTGCCTCGGCTGCTGTACCAGGTGCAGCTGCCACCGTGCCTGCTGCCACTGGGGAAGGGGCATCAGAGGGAGGTAGCGCGTCTGGTGGAGGCGGGCCCAGGTCGCAGAAGGCAGGGGCGCTGTCTCTGCTGCTGGGCTCGCTCATGCTGCTGGCCCTCGCCTCCTCTGCAATCAACCCTGCAGGGCAAGGAGATTCGCTCACAGCTGAGCTCAGTGGTGGTGGTGGTCCGTGCACAGGGGGCAGGTGCAGCAGGGCATGGTGGGGAACAGGTGAGGTCGAGGCAGCGGCAGGAAGGAAGCTGCTGGCGGTGCAGGCGAGGGAGAGGCAGGCACAGTGGCATCAGTTGCGGGGGGAGCGGCATGCGTGGCAGCAGCAGGCGGTGGTGGCGGTTGGGAGAGTGAGGCCTGGCAACAGCACGCTCTGCCTGCTGCATCCCCATCACCCCAACTGCCGGCACGCTGCTGCTGCTGGTGCTGTGCGCGCGCATGGTGGCAGTGCAGTGAGTGATGGTGGCAGTGCAGTGAGTGATGGTGGCAGTTTTCCAGGCAAGGAGGCAGGTGTGGTGCTGCAGCTGCTGCCCCCCGTGCTTCCACTCGCTGGCAGACTGAGCGAGGAGCAGAAGGACGCAGGGGAGAGGGGCGGGGGGGAGAGGGACGCAAGGGAGAGGGAGAGGGAGGAGGGGGATGCGGAGATGGCAGCATGCAGGGCGGAGAGGAAGCGGCGGAGGAAGGAGCCCAGCAAGTTCATTCACCAGCTGGGCCTCATGCTCGGGTGCGTGCATCGCTCATGCTCGGGTGCGTGCATCGCTCATGCTCAGGTGTGTGCATCGCTCATGCTCGGGTGCATGCATCGCTCATGCTCGGGTGCGTGCATGCACCATCCATGGCATCTGCATATCCTCCACGTACCTCTCCCACACACCTCTCGCACTCACCTCTCATGCACACCTCCCCCCCACACCTATCCTTCACACCTCTCCCTCAGACCTCCCTCTCTCACCTCTCCCACACACCTCTCCCTCACACCTCTCACTCACACCTTTCCTTCACACCTCTCCCACACACCTCTCCCTCACGCCTCCTCCTCACACCTCTCCTGCACGCCTCTCCCTCACACCTCTCCATCACACCTCTCTGTCTCTCCATCACACCAGGTGGGTGTCAGCGGGCTTCTATCTGGGCTCGCGGGTGTCGCAGATCTGGCAGAACGCAGAGCGCGGGTCAGCAGAGGGCCTGTCCATGGCCATGTTTCTCTGTGCCTTCTGCGGCAACCTCACCTACGGCACTGCCATTCTGCTGCGCGCCCCTTCTCTGTACGCTATTCTGCTGCACGCCGCTTCTCTTCCGCCCGAAACGCTAGTGCATGCAGCGGGACCTCTGGAATCGAAGCGTGTTGGCCTTGTGTGTGCGGTGTGCATGGCAGGGCGGCATTGAGTGGCAACCTGCCATGGCTGGTGGGCAGCATGGGGACTCTCTCCCTAGACATCACCATCTACCTGCAGGTGAGCCGACCCTTGTTATCTTCACCTTACACGCCTTGCACTGCATGCACAGGAGAAAGTCTATGCCGCAGGTGGAATGACTTCGGATGATGTTGTGGAACCTCTCTTGTTCTCAACCGCTGTGTCAATCACTCACCTCTGTCGCACACTCTATTCTACTGCACACAATCCTGTCATGTTCTGCAGGCCCAGTTTCTGAGTTGCAAGAAGGAACACTCATCGGTCGTTCGCCCCATCACTGTCTTATGACTAGTGCGCCCTCTGCTGCGCTGCTTCTCAGCATGCCGTGGCTCTCTACACACACCTGATGTGAAGCTCATCCGTCATTCAAAAGCACTGTAATTGACACCCATTGCTCCTTCTCCTTGGAATTAAGAAAGGTAGACTAGCCGTTAATATTGTTGCGCTATAGCAAGAAGAAAGAGGCATCCACAGCACAGGCATCCAATGCAGTGGACCAATCAAAGTGATGCGTTGGGCAGTCTGGTCTATATGGGCACCTCTAATAGGCATACCAAGCGGAGTCAGATGCTCAAATACCGTATCCTCCGGGATAGTAGGCTAGTAGCGTATATGCGCTTATAATAAAATCAATTTTTTTAGGGGGGGCGCTTGTAATTGAGGAAAGGGCATAAGCGCCTGCGCTTATGAAATGGAAAAAAAACAAGAGGCGACAAAGTCGTCGTAGGGTTGCGAAGCGATTTTCCATAAGTTACATACTGAATTTTATAAAACTTGTAGTAACATGAAACCTGTAGTTGCTGACACTTTCTTTTATTTGGATGAGATCTTGAAAGCGTGTTGGCAAGGGTTTCAACCGGCGACCTCCCGGTTTCATGACGAGTCTCGATCGACTACGCTACAACGGCTGGCGTGTGATGGCAATTTAATTTGCTGACAGTATAAGTTGCGACGAAATCACACTGCCTTAGGGTTTGCGTCTTCCTTTGCCCTCTCTTTTCCTCACGCCAGAGAAGGCTCTTCACATTCTCACGCTAGTCCCGCTCCACCTAACTACCAGGTGAGAAGTCACTAGAACTAAGTTAATTTAGAAGTACGTTAGATGGTATTTGCTAGGCCTAAGCACGTTCTTATTAGCTATGACGACCCATAATTTAGCTCGGTCGATGTTGCTGTTTCCGTTCCATGTTGCTGCTGTTCATAATTTAGAAGCCTCAGCCACTTTACCTTAGCATCTAGATCTCTAAGTAGTTCCTAACTACTGCTCCTCACTTGGTATGATCGATTTTCGTCCGTTTTTATCTCTAAAAACCATCTCATTAATTCTGTCCTTGTTCATGTTTCATTGTTAAATCGTTCATTTCAAATATGTTTCTCTATTCCTTTCTTTCTTATCATCTTATACGTCCCTCCTTCAGTTCACTTGCTACCTATGCGCCATCTACTTCGTGTTAAAGAAGTGATGATGTAAGTACGTGTCTGCTCGTTGTTTTACCACTCCTCTCGCATTCTCATCTTGTTCTTTCTCTTCTTTTCAGTATTCTTCTTCTTCTCATTCTTTTTTCCTTTCAATAATCTGGTTCCGACTATAAGAGAATGGCAAGCCTTTCAAGAAACAACTCACACGCACTTCTCTCTTTCTCGTGCCAAGTACTAATCTGCTTTATAGGCTGCAGCAGATTAGTACTTGGTTTGTAGATACCTTTTTGTTGTTTCTATTTTCTCGTATTTTTCCTTCCGTTTTGCTTCGGTTTCTGTTATTTTGTATTGTACGTTTTCCGGTTTGGCGGTTTGTTCTTGCGTCGGTAATGCACTGCCTTCTCTTCTGCTACTGTGTCACTTTCAGTGTCGTTTCTCTCCTATCCTCCCTTGTTTTGCTTTCCGATGACCTCTACATCGAAAATCATATTGCACATTTCAGGAAGCCAAGTTCAGTCTGTAAAGTGGGAAGAGTAGTGGTGATTCGTAGAATTCATTATTATTATATTTGTTGTATCTTGTTTTGCACCTTTTGTTATTGTTTTGACTTTGTTCTGGTATGAGTTGGGCTGTGTGTATTGTCAGGAAGAATAGGAGCGTGGCCTAGGCTTAGTAGCCTAGGCCACAGTAGGAGGTAGTAGGTTGTGCCCTAGGACTAGGGTTTGTGGTATACGAAGGAGAATTGGAGAAGTGAGAATGGGAATGATGATGAACTAGCAAGCAGCAGGATACATATAGGAAACCCTAAGGGGTTGTACTCACTATTGAGCACCCCACTGCAGGCTAGACAAATAACATAATCTGACACACCCCCATAGCCAAAGTGGGGTGTAATCAGCACACGTGAGAAGTCACAGCAATAGTTCACAATTATCAGCAAAGCTAGTGGCAGTCACAGGAGGCCAGTGAGGAGGAGGAGGAACTGTGGAGGGAGAGAAGAGAGGAGGCGACGACTGAAGTTGCAGACACACGGGCACCAGGAGCACCAGGTTGCAACCTCCTCCAACTGTCTCACTCCCCCCTACACTCACCCCCAGTGTCACCACTCGCTTCTCGCCCACATCACCCCCTTAGCGCCACTCCCTCGTCTCCCACACATCCACCCCCCCGCAGCGGCAGCTGCAGCAGTGGGAGACGGAGGAGAAGGTAGGGGCGACGCACAAGGAGCACCCCCACACCCGCCACCCCCACACCCTCCTGTCCAGGGGACGCAGGGGGGGGGGGGGGGGAGGGCCGGGGCGGGAGAGCGCACGAGGGCGCAGGCAACCGCGCGTGCAGAGCAACAGCGCGGAGCAGGTAGGGTAGAGCGCACGAGGGCGCGGGCAACCGCGCGTGCAGAGCAACAGCGCGGAGCAGGTAGGGTAGAGCGCACGAGGGCGCGGGCAACCGCGCGTGCAGAGCAACAGCGCGGAGCAGGTAGGGTAGAGCGCACGAGGGCGCGGGCAACCGCGCGTGCAGAGCAACAGCGCGGAGCAGGTAGGGTAGAGCGCACGAGGGCGCGGGCAACCGCGCGTGCAGAGCAACAGCGCGGAGCAGGTAGGGTAGAGCGCACGAGGGCGCGGGCAACCGCGCGTGCAGAGCAACAGCGCGGAGCAGGTAGGGTAGAGCGCACGAGGGCGCGAGTGAGACTGAGCGCGACTGCACAGGGTCCAGGAGCGGCGTCGCGGGCAGCTGCATGGTCGGCTGCTGCTGGTGCGGTTGCTCCAGGGGCGACGACTGAGGTTCTAGGGGCGGCTGCACCAGGGGCGGCTGCTCCACGGGCGGCGTCGCGGGTACAGGGGCGGCTGCACCAGGGGCGGCTGCTCCAGGGGCGGCGGCGCAGGTCCAGGGGCGGCTGCACCAGGGGCGGCTGCTCCACGGGCGGCGTCGCGGGTACAGGGGCGGCTGTGTCAGAGGTCCACTGGGGATCCCCGATGATCCTAGGGAAGGGTTACAGGCACGTTGGCCTGGGGGGTTATGGGCGCACTCACCCGCTACACAAACAAGCCCTTTTATCCCAGTGGTTAGTGGCTGGGATTCTGACATGGTATCAGAGCGAAGGTCTCGGGTTCGAATCCCGGTGTGTGCACTTCGGGCATCCCAGTGCGGGGGGGTGTCAGAGGTCCACTGGGGATCCCCGATGATCCTAGGGAAGGGTTACAGGCACGTCGGCCTGGGGGGTTATGGGCGCACTCACCCGCTATATAAACAAGCCCTTTTATCCCAGTGGTTAGTGGCTGGGATTCTGACATGGTATCAGAGCGAAGGTCTCGGGTTCGATTCCCGGTGTGTGCACTTCGGGCATCCCAGTGCGGGGGGGTGTCAGAGGTCCACTGGGGATCCCCGATGATCCTAGGGAAGGGTTACAGGCACGTTGGCCTGGGGGGTTATGGGCGCACTCACCCGCTACACAAACAAGCCCTTTTATCCCAGTGGTTAGTGGCTGGGATTCTGACAGGCTGCACCAGGGGCGGCTGCTCCAGGGGCGGCGGCGCAGGTCCAGGGGCGGCTGCACCAGGGGCGGCTGCTCCACGGGCGGCGTCGCGGGTACAGGGGCGGCTGCACCAGGGGCGGCTGCTCCAGGGGCGGCGGCGCAGGTCCAGGGGCGGCTGCACCAGGGGCGGCTGCTCCCTGGGCGACGGCGCAGGTCCAGGGGCGGCGGCACCAGGGGCGGCTGCTCCAGGGGCGGGGTCGCGGGTCCAGGGGCGGCTGCACCAGGGGCGGCGGCTCCAGGGGCGGGGTGGCGAGTCCAGGGGCGGCTGCACCAAGGGTGGCCGCTCCAGGAGTGATGGCGCTGGCGCAGGGGCGGCTCGCGCGCTGTTGCAGGGGCGGCGTCGCGAGCTGCTGCAGGGGCGGTGTCGCGAGCGACGGGCGACGGGGGGAGAGCAGCAGGCGGGCCCCCGGAAGGCGCCGCGACGACCAGTGACGGCGCCCAGGGGGCGTCGCGTCGTGTAGGGGCGACGCCGCGCGGGTCCCGCAGAGGTGTCGCGACGAGCAGGGCGACGCCGCGCGGGTCCCGCAGGGGCGTCGCGACGAGTAGGAGCGGCACCCAGGGGGGGGCGCCGCGACGAGCAGGGGCGGGCCCCCTGAAGGCGCCGCGCCATGCGACGGCAGGGAGCAGCACGCAGGCCCCCCGGAGGGCGCCTCGACGGACGGGATAACCGCCGCGCGCCCCGAGCGCGCGGCGGGTAGAATAAGCCGCCACACGCTCGAAGCGCGTGGCGGGAAGAAAAATCCAGTGCCGCGCACCACGGAGCGCGCGGCGAACAGTAGGGCAGCGGAAGCAGTTGGTGGGCCCGTTGAGCTAGGCAGCAGGATCTTGCCCGCTCTAGATACCATGTCAGGAAGAATAGGAGCGTGGCCTAGGCTTAGTAGCCTAGGCCACAGTAGGAGGTAGTAGGTTGTGCCCTAGGACTAGGGTTTGTGGTATACGAAGGAGAATTGGAGAAGTGAGAATGGGAATGATGATGAACTAGCAAGCAGCAGGATACATATAGGAAACCCTAAGGGGTTGTACTCACTATTGAGCACCCCACTGCAGGCTAGACAAATAACATAATCTGACATGTATATGTGTGTGTGTGTGTGTGTGTGTGTGTGTATTCATCTATATTCATTCATTCATTGCATTAGCAATGCATGTCTGTGGGTCTTAAAAACTTGATCAGCCTATCATTTCCGGGAACGTTCTTTGCCCACTCAGTGAGTGTGTTCACTTGAACTGGATTTGATAGAACTGATCATTTTTTTAGGATACATAGATTGTGTTGTATTTATGTGATAGTTGTATAAGTTAAATGCTAGGCTATTGACTTCCCCCCCATGCTAGG